GAGTAAAACTAATCACATCTGTTGTCACGTCTGAGGTTAAGAAATAAGATGTCAAAACTTCAACATTTTGGACTTGAGCGATTATAAGGATGCAGCTGCCATGAACTAACAGGGGGTGCACAGAGTTCAGAAGAGAGGTCCAGACAGCGGATACGCGCCTGGCAGTCACTGTCCCAGGCAGCACTTGAAGCCGGGGCCACATGAAATCTCCTGCTGGAGAGAGGCACGAAGTCCGAGATCTGCCAAGCATCTGCAGCTAAGGAGGAAGCAACAGACTCAGCCTGTTGAACTGAAAGCCAAGGGAAAGGAGAACAATCCCGAAGCTTTCACAAAGGAGGTGGTTTCTGAGGTGATCTTTAAAAAATCAACAAAATTCTTCAAGAAGGTAAAGCAAGAAATAAGTATGCTACTTAATCTCTTCTTATCTTCAGATAATACAAAGTCACCGCAGGAAATGCCGATGGGTGGCAGGACGCCTGCTGCAACACTGGCATCCTGCAGCAGGGTGCCTGGCTTCTAGTCCTGGTTCCATCACTAGTCCCAGCCTCCTGCTAAGGCACACCCTGAGAAGCCAAAGCTGCTGGTCTCCACCACACACCAAGAAGGCTGGATTGAGGTCCAGCCTCCTGGCTTTAGCCTAGCCCAGCAGGAGCCAATGTGACGCTGAAATCAGCAGTTCTCAATTAGTTAACAGGAATGCTCAACAAATGCCAGCTATTATCTCATTTACTCAAATTGATCAGAATCTTTTATCACAGTACCTCATTTCTAGAAGATACAGTGTGTGTTATTTCCCAACACATTCTCAAAAGGCAATGTTTACTTCTCATACCATAATGCATATAAGGAGATTTATCTTCCTCTGAACATGACAGAACTCAAATGACTCATTTGATAAGTAACTGATTTAGTAAGATCCATCTAGTACCGACATAAAATCTTGCTACAGTGAATTTTTTGGTAGAAATCCAATCTTTAGTATTTTTTTTCAAGACACTTAACTTATTTTTATTGGAAAAGTGGATTTCACACAGAGAGAGACAAATATTTTCCGCCAAACAACTGGGTCAGCATCCAAACGGCCACACACGGTTGGAGCTGAGCCTATCCAAAGCTAGGAGCCTCTTTCAGATCTCCCCTGTGGATGCAGGGTCCCAAGACTTTGGGCTGCAAGCAGGGAGCTGGATGGGAAGTGGAGCCGCCAGGACACAGCAACAGCGCCCACGTTAAGATCCCAGGGCTTGCAGCAAGAGGATTAGCTAATGGAGCCCTTGCACCAGGTCCTACTTTTAGGTTTTTAAAATGCACAAAATTTCTGCACATAAAATGTAACACTATAGGAAATTTTCAAGAAGTCCCTTGTACTGGTAATCTCAGACACATTATTTCTTGAATATGTAGCATGACTCGATGCATTTAACATTATTAAACTATCGGGATCATAAGATATGGATCTCTTATCTGCTTACAGAGAAAAAACAACAGCCATTTCTCAAGTCTTACCTGAACTCTCCTATACTTAAGTATGCCAGACTCTTGTCTACTAAAATTGCAGCTGGGAAAAGCAGAACACAATTCGTTACTAGAAAGAAGTCTAACTTTTCTTCTAAATGACAAAGCAATCAAGCGCAACTCAAATTCCTCCTGTAGGTCCAAGTAATAATTTCAGGAGGCACAATTTCCAAGTAGGCACATTCTCTTAAACATTTACACATTTTAATCTACTCAAAAACATACATACAGAGAACTATCTTCCATCCTTGCAACAGCCAAGCAGAAGCCAGGAGCCCAACCTCCACTGGACTCTCCCTTGCAGGTACTAAGGGCCAAGCACCCAGCTGTAACTCCCTCGGTGCCTACCAGCAAGGAGCTGGGTCAGAAACAGAGCAGCTGCAACTCCAGTCAGCCAAAAAAGCTCCATCCCCCGCAGCTCCGGCTCTAAGCCCCGCAGGAGAGCAAGCCTGACAACTTAGAGGCCGGTTAGCTAACAGGTGTGAGCCACTAGTTTGTAACCCACAGCTAAGTGCCAAGTTACCATCAAAACTTTTCAAATATCAAGGCAAAACTCAAAGAAAGCAAAACTTAAGGGGACACACATGTATTTTCTTACCACATCTCACTAAATAATTGGGAGGTTATACAAACATGTGGTATTGAAGACACAACCAATAACACAATGCTCTAAAATTCAAATGTCAGCCACAGCACCGTGGGCTCATTTGCTTTGCCACTCTTCAATCTCTTCCAGGAAGCTGAAACAAATCTGGGTCACCAGGCACTTGTCTTCAGGTGGTCCCCAAAAGCCGGACCAAACGAGAGGAATTACGCTCTTAAAAAACACCAGAACGCTTTCATTGTGGTGGACAGGCCAATGCAATTCCTTCAACATTAGAACTCGAAGTGAACCACGCACAGACAACCCTGGGGACTTCACTGTTAACAGCACAGGAAAGAAGTTACCGGCTGCCAGCTCTTGTATCCCACGGCCTTGGAAGCCCAGTAAGAAAGCAACCACACCTGTGCCCAGCGCGACGGGTCCAGCCCTGAAGCCCCGTCCGCTGGCCCACAGGTGAGGGGCCGGGTGCTCGGGCTAATGGCATCGGCTTCCCCAACTCGGAGGGCCTCTTGCGGGTCAGGTCGACCTATCACGGGCGACACAAGGCAGGCGGCCACACGCACGCACCCCGGACTGCAGAGGACAGGGAGGAGGCCGGTACCTGTCTGCCGCTCCCGAATACTGGACGCCGCCGCCATCTTGCCTGCTGCCCGGCTGGCAAGCGGATCCCGGGATGACGTGGCCAAGGCTCCCGCCCCGGAAGCAGAGCCCAGGGGGCGGGACGAAGGCCGGCGCGGGGAGGAAGCTCCGCCCTCCGGGGCCTGAAGCCCTAAATTGCGTTTACATTCCGAAATTCATTTGTCTTACCAAGCCACACCCTCGCAAGTCTCCTCAGCCTGGGAGAGCATCACTGTCGCCCTCGCTTCCTCACCTCCAGAGTGTAGACGGGACCACAGTTTTCTCCAGCTTCCCCTGGCTTTCCCGCACGCAACTGGCGCACAGCTCTAATTTGGCAGATTTCTCAATCTCATCTCCAAAGTAAATGGTCCAGCTGTGTAGTGGCGTTGTGCTTACATGGATACCATAACCAGAAAGGTACAAAATAACTTATTCTCATCTTCACTAAGTGCAAACTAACAAAACTACCTTCTGGGGGAGAGTGCGGAGCTTTGAACACACATGTGAAGCCGCATGATCACAAAATGTATCCGATATTGATTTCTATGATCAGTATTTTATTGGATGTCACAAATTGATAGACAATGACATTTTCCATGCTCAAGAGGTCTCTGACAACAAACCATTAGCTGTTGAGCGTAAATTCTGAAGCTGCATCAAATCCCCACATTACAGTGCCCTAAAATCTTAACTTGCAGACTCATGTAAATGATTTATCCCAACAGATAAAACCCAAAAGTATACTCTGATATCAGAAACACTGCTTCATGTGATGACACAAGCTGCTGTTTTTTATAATTTACATTTTCTCATTTCCAAAGGACATATTAAGACATTAACACATACTTTTGCATTCAGTACTGCTAATAATATTTAAAAGGCATTGGGAATCATCTGGGTTCATTCTAATTCAACAGATATATGAGCGCCTACCTTATGAAAAAGTTCTAGTAACTCTTTTAAGATTTTTATTGCAAAGTCAGATTTATACAGAGAGGAGGAGAGACAGAGAGGAAGATCTGCAGCCGCATGGTGCCAAGGCCTTGGGCCGTCCTTGACTGCTTCCCCAGGCCACAAGCAAGGAGCTGGATGGGAAGAGGGGTCACCTGTATGGACCTATGTGTCGAGGTGAGAACTTCAGCCACTAGGCTACAGCACCAGGCCCGGGAAAAATTCTATTTACTTCTATACACTGCATGGAATGTGAAATATACAGCCTTTCCCAAGTGTCAGTATCTGAGATCAACTTCTCCTTTGGGTACCTCCACTTTCAAATGGCTGCCTAGCACATCAGTGCCATCAGAATCCTCCTTTCCAGAGGCCCCTGGAGTCATATCGATTTAACACTACAGCAGTGTTCTTTATGTACAGTATATACACAGGAAATAAACGCTGTCATGATCAAGGAGTGTAGAAAATAAATGTTCAAAAAACTAGCCTACAGGAACAGTTCCAATTGACAAAAACTGTCTTTGCAACACTGACACTGCATATTCTATTTTATATTACGAGAAGCAGAAACTTCAAAAATCTCATGGCTTCGCAGTGTTAGTCCCCATAGTCGCCTATCTGACACCCCAACTGGCTGCAATGTCTGCAGGTGAGGACTAAGACCCAGCACCTGGGCCTAGCTCAGTTCTGAGGTTCCGGGGTGGCAGCCAACTATACTAATAGGCTCTTTACAGGTGCAGCGTCAGTGCTGTGTGTACCCCGTGTAGTTTTGTCACACGTGACTGCATTAATCCAGCCCATATAAGCACTTCGAATTAAGTGGCATTCTTTTAGAAACATAATTTGGCAGTTTGTAAAAAAGGATAGAAGAAACAGGCTTACATAAAATGATTTGCCAACTGCTGTACAGTAAGTATTAGAATATATTTGGGAACTAGGAAAGGTAATGGTCAAAATCAGAACTTGAAAACTGAGTTTCTTAAAGGCGATTCAACCTTTCCTAACCTGCAAATTAATAATAAACACACATTATCATGCACTGTTAACACATTACTGGAAGCATAAATACAGTCTAGTAGCTCGTAGTAAAAGTCACAACGAACATCACCATATAAAAAATAAAATACATAAATATAATTTAGTTCTGGTAATGTTCTTTAAATGAATGAATGCTAAGGCGAAAACACTAAGAAAACCTACCTATTGTACTCCCTTTTATTTAGTATTTATCATGGAATGCACAAATTCCAATGCTTTGTTATAATCAGAGAAAAAAAATTTACAAATGCATAAATAAGAGCCGAAGCAAATTGTCATGCTGATAATCACATGAAAAACTTCTTCTTAATTCAGGAAAAAAACCCCTCCTTTTTCATAACCAAAGGCTATTGCAAAATATAAAATCATACGCTAGTTTAATATTTTAAGAATATGTACCTTAAATACAGAACCAGCTAAATGACCAAGAATAAGATTAGTAGAGAATTGCATACAAGGTCTTATGTAATGTTTCCATACTAAAAACTGTTTTGAAACAACTAAAATGAACCAAATCCACAACCTTGAAAATAGAGGCATTTTTGGTCAATTATGGTATTCCTTAATATTGAAAACAACAGTAAAGCAGCTTAAAATATATGGCATTTAGTGAGAGACACATGTACATACTTATAAAGGTTTAATAGTATAATCCCTTTATAAATTCAATGTCATAAGAATTGTTATGACTACAAAAAAAATTATAACACCGATCATTTGACACAGTAACTGTAGGAAATAAATTCTAAGTTTCTCGGATATGCTTTCCATGCAAAGATTAATAATATACAAATTTAATGGAATGTCCTTCAAACTAGAACACACTTGAGCATGACTATTTAGGCTTCAAGTTCAAAGACAGATATTTACACCATTATATCACTAAAATGGGGAACTAAAATGTTGTCTTAAACCGTAGCTATCCCAAGCATACTGCCATGACTTGCCCATGTTCCTCGTTTTATGAAGGAATGTTACATCAACTATTCTAGGGAAACTAAAACTACAAACTAGAAAATATATGTTAAGCATGATTTTTTTAGGTTGTGTTCATTTAATGGCTTTTAAATTTTTATAAAAATCAAGTTGCTTAAAAAATTGACATCCAATTTATAAACATAATTGGAATAAAATCTCTATGCTGAGCTTCAGGTTTATATTTCATGGTCAAAGTTATTTTTGATGATCAATCCTTTGATAATCCAACAAAACTGAACTCTGGTAAAAAATAATGCCTTCTTTATTGTTCTTTAAAACTTCAAGTTAAGGTAAAAATTAATCCTCTAGATCTGTTAGTCTATCACTTGAAACAGACAAGAGGTAGCAAGATCATATTAGTGAAATGTTTCAGTTTTCCTTTGGTAATTGAAAGATGTATTACCTGTAGTCAAATTTGTCTTATTATTATTTTTTTAAATATTAACATTCAGGATGATCCGTTAGCAATGCTAACATTAGAATACAGACATGCTTATACATTTAGTAAACAAAAAATAAAGTTTCACTTCCGTGGGAAAAAACCTGAAGCTGTCTCTTGTGTACTTGGTGAGATTGGGGATTTGGGGTGTGTTTGCAGGGTATGAAATGGGGACTGACTATGGGGCCACTCAGGATGGATGTCCTGCTACTACAGAAATAATAATTGTTAAAAAAAATAAAGGATCTAGAGACTTTATAGAATACACAGAGAAAGTATAGTAATCTCTTCGCAATGAGGTTAGAATGTGTTTTCTACTCTTTGTATTTGTTACTCATCCATGCGCATACGTAATAAAAATCTCAAGAACAAGGAAGACAACTGCATAATGCTATGGTGCAAGCTTACCTATGATACAACCATACTGATAATAAATAACCATCAAATAATCAGTCACATGGCAAATCACAGAATTAAAATATCCAAAATGAATACACATTTGACATATGGTACAGGAAAAAAAATTCTGTGATTAAAGCCATGGTTTTAAAAATAATAAAACTTCTTATGTATTTGCAACTACATTTTATCTATGCCATAAATGTTTTTAAGTGTATGGAATGTTCATAGATTTCAAAATATTTGTGCAAGTGTGCTTTTATATAATATTTCCTAATATGCATAATCTAATGTATGGAATATTTCAATATAAATCAGAAACCTCAAACAATTTTCAACAATTTAGTGCCATCCTTCAAAAACATACATATAATGCATATCTCAGAATATATGTCTCTTATTTATAAACAGAATTTAAACAGTTAGCTTTCCTATTTAATGCTTGAAAGTAACAATTTTCAAATTGCATAAAAGTAGAAAATTGTGGCATTCTATAGGTATATTTAATACCTTGATAAAAATAGTGAGTTTTTCTTACATACACCATGATACAACACCTAAATAATCTAAATAATCTGAAAGTATGTACAAAGATTTATGAAAATTGTATATTAATAGAAAAATATCATAAATTTACACTAATATTTTTCTTTCCGTAAATGGCCAAACCATTCCTTTATGTTTATATCATAAATTTTATTGGGCCAAAAAGCTGACAGATTAGTTCAAAGTGATGATTAATAGATTTCTGAAAGGAGTTATCAATAGCAGCTTTTAAAGAAGCATTTTGCTGTTCAAACTTTTTAATGTTCAACGTAGTGAGAACTTGCTTCCTTTTCTAGTCTTAGAGTATTTCTTATGGCGAAATCCATATTGTCTTGAAATTCTTTATATGTACTGGTGATTGGAAGAGCTAAACAGTTGTTACACTTGTTTCCAATAGGAAAATCCATATGAAGGCACTCAATTGAAGGAGTGGGTTTAAATCCAGCAGGTGGAATAGAACTGCAACCAGTTGCAAAAAGAAGAATATCTTCCAGTGTTGTTGTAGACTGGCCATCTGCAAAGTTTACCAATACAACAGAAACAGATTAAGAAATAAATTTATTATAGATATTATTAGAATGAAAAACTCCTAAAACTGCACTGGGAATATGGGAAAGCATAGACATCAAAATTTATCTTGGGCAAAAGTCACAAAAATCTTTTGCAGTAATAGGTACTAATACATTCAATAAACAAACCACAAAGTAGGAGCAGTTATAAAATCATTTAGTTTACATATTCATTGTATCTTTGATCATTTCTAAGCCAAAATCAAGAAATGCAGATTAGAAAACTAAACAGTAAATGAAATGAAAACAAAAACCTAGTAAACAGAATTTCAGCTCTAGGTTAAAATGTTTCCTTTCCATTAAATGGAAAGATTTTACACTGCTAGTGCAAAGAAATGGACATGATAGTCATAGACCTAATCGGTAGATGGAGGCTTGTTCAGTGTAACCTCACAGTGAAAAAGATCATACAGCTAGCTTTAGTAATTGTTATAAGCTCCAAGTTTTCTAGGAAGAACGACTTTTGCATAAAAATACAAAGAAAGCAAATTCTCTAATCTTCTTATTACTTCTTAAATTTGGACTAAAAAGAATTTCTTTTGTTATCAACTGAAAACATTATCAGAAGGCAAAATTAAACAAACATGCAAAATAGCATCCTCAGGTAACAAAATGAGATGCCCACACACCTTCAACAGTCTGTAAGTAACTGTTCCAAAATCCCAAAGTTTGCACTCCAGGTAATGTGTGAACTGTGAAAAGATCACTAAGGACTTTTGCAGACAGATTCTCAGGTTTCTTACAGAGGATGTTACAGAACGCTTCTGGGTAAGCCTGGATTTTCTCCAAAACACCAAGAGTTTTGAGACCCTGTTTAAAACTTTAAAAGAAAAGTCACAATGAAAACATTCACATTACATTAGAGAATTAACAATATTCAGTTAATGTGCATGCATTTCAAATCAGGTAATGCTAAAACACAAACCAGAACCACAACAAAAAAATTCTGCCATGTATATTCAGAAATAGGAGTAGAGGAGATAAAATACAGATGTGCTGTAAACACACACATTGTTTCACAATAGGCTAATTTATTAAGAAGTATCTGAAATGTGTCACAATTCAAAAATATTTAACAATTGAAGTTTCTTACCCTATTACAAAGAAAAAAATAAACAATAGCCATACCTATATTACTAAAAAGAAACAAAACAGTGGAGAAATTTTAATATACACTACAAAATGAGTTAACTTCTCTAACACACGCAGAATGTTTCTATTGTAAATAATCAAACAGGAAAAATCACCCACAAATATATAAATATAAAAGACAAAGCATGAAAAAGTTTCAAATAAAAAAGTGAGAAAAAGAGATAGATCTTCCATCCTATGGTTACTCCTCAAATGGCCACAACAGCTAGGTAGGTCTGAGCCAGGACAAAGCCAGAAAATGTAAACATCTCCTGGGTCTCCTTAGCTAGCAACAACCCAGGAACTTGGGCATCATGTAAGGCGAGGATGTTACTCACTAGGCTACTGTGCTTCACCCCTGCTACATTTTTAATGTCTTGGGCCAAGCGCAGTGTCCTAGGGGCTAAACACGCTGGATCCCATATGAGCACTGGTTCCAACCCTGGCAGCCCCACTTCCCATCAAGCTACCTGCTTGTGGCCGGGGAAAGAAGTTGAGGATGACCCAAAACCTTGGGACCCTGAACCCACACGGCAGACCCGGAAGAGCTCCAGGCTCCTGGCTTCACCAGCCGTTGGGGTCACTTGGGGAGTGAATCATCAGACGGAAGATCTTCCTCTCTGACTCTCCTCCGCTCTCTCTCTCTCTCTCAGACTTTGCAAAAATAAATACATCTTTATAAAAAAATTTGTTTAAATGTCCTTATTTCCCTCCCAGAATCCAGACTGAAGCTCAATTCCAAATGTAATAGTATTGGGGAAATGTGGCCTTCCTTGAAGTCCAAAAGAAAACAAATCATTCTAGCAGCACAAGCTGATCCTTAAATGGCTGTAAATGGTCTCATAATCCAAAATGTTAGTATACAGCCAAATCAAAACAAAATCCTGGGCCTGGCACCATGGCCTAGCAGCTAAAGTCCTCGCCTTGAAAACGCCTGGATCCCATATGGGTACTGGTTCTAATCCCGGCAGCTCCACTTCCCATCCAACTCCAGGCCTGAGGCCTGGAAAAGCAGACGAGGATGGCCAAAAGCCTTGGGAGTACTGGAGGAAGTTCCTGGTTCCTTGCTCCAGATCAGTTCAGCAGCGGTCATAGGGGTCACTTGGGGAGTGAATCATCGGACAGAAGATATTCCTGTCTCTCCTCCTCTCTGTATCTTTGTAATAAAAATAAATCTTTAAAAAAAACCCATCATCCTTAATTGTTCATCATCCATTTCTAATTACCGAGTTACATAAATTTCCCTTTTTGAAGTCCTTTTTGTCACCTCATTTCTCCAAATATCCCTGCTATCAGTTTAATACAAACTATATGAAAAGAAACTATTAACAGGCATGTCACTCTCTAGTCCATTTTCCATTTTTTAGCCACAGTCATGTGTTAGATAATGGATTTAAAACGAACTTTTATACTAAGCCAGGCTGACTGGTGATTGCCACATCCTAACCTGTAGCATTCATTCAGAGACGGCAGCTTTCCAGATTGAACCTCTACTGAGGTTTTTGAAATGGGATCATCCTGCCTAGATTATTTAGGCTGATACTAAATTTGACAAAGCCTTTTTATTGTAAGACAGAGAAGGTAAACACACAGGGAAAAAGGTCATATGAATAGAGTGAGACTGGATTTATGCAACCACGAGAAGGTGGAAAAAAAAAGAATGAATTCTCCCCTTAATGACCCAATATTTAATTTTAAGATGAAATCACACTTTAATGACTACTAATTACTAACAACAAAACAATAAAAGATAAATATTTACTTAAGATAACAGAGTACTGGCCATTCCAAGTTATTTAAAAGCATAGTAGAACCCTAAAAAAACAACTTTAATCTGTTTTCAATAGTATAATACAATGGTTGATTATATTCATATTGTTATCATGACTATTTATTAAATATAGAATATATCAACCGAATAGTTGCTTTGAACTTTAATTCACCATGGTTCCAAACACGAAATCTAAACATAAAATCAATAAAATTCAAACACACATGATATTGAATTAGAAATTCCAGTATCAAATAACATGTAAGAAAATATCATTATAAACTTAACATAGCTTATTATTAGCAAAGCAAAAAACAAAACAAAACAAAACCCAAAGTATATTCAAACTTTGGCCCACTGAAAAGATCTTAATATAAGGACCCATCCAGCAAAAATGAGTATCAGCATCCAGACTGCAGTTCTGAAAGGGAACTTCCAATGAACACATGCAGGTTCCTTTGGCAGGTTGTACCAAAGGAGGCTGAATCCCCATGAAATGTCACATCAAAACAACACAAAGAGGCATGCATTCATATTAACCGCATGCTTTTTCCTTTACGTCAATATTTCTAGACTCATAAGTTAATACTGAATTTAATCACAGCATAAAATGATCACTTTTGAGAATGCCATTGTATTTGATATTTGCTCAAACATCACACCCATGTGAGTAACAAGGTTAGGATACAGAGGAGCAGGCCGAATGACAGGTTGGTATCTGTATCATTAGATTTACAAAAGTGGAAGGATGTGAGGAGGTATCTAAGTAGCTGCACTTCTTTTAAGGTTACTGGAACCAAAAATTTGAACATTGGTGCTATGATTAAGAGCAAACCATCACATCTGCTTTATTAAGAAGCTAACTTTTTAGAATAGAAAATAACAAATTCTCAACAAACAGTAATTCAATAAATACAAAGTTACCTCATATAATAAGATATTTTAAAATACTTTTTATTCAGGAAAATAAAATTTAAATTATTGATTACTTCCAACTACGCATAATGCAATTTATGTACAGAGAGAATAATCAGAAAATGATCTTGTTCATTTCAAAGCATTATTTTTAAATAATATTTGAAGGCTTCAGCTAAACATTTTCATTTAATACAACTGTATCTCAAGACAATCACTCTAAGCATCTAATTTGAGAGAATCTCTGACATTTAAACAGCTTACCTTTCAAAGGGTGCTTGAACTCTCTTAATTACATGGTAAACAAGTATGTCTTTTGCCAACATATACTTATCATTTAAAGTTGTTGTAAGTCTTTGGCATCCAATAAGCTCTAAATAGCTGTAACATTCATTTACTACTGAATTTAAGTCAGCCATATTTGTTGCAGTATTTATCTGTAACAAACGACAAAACATAACTCACTTTACCACTTGTGACAATTACATAGTGTATCGCTGTGGAGTAAAATTACAACAAATTTCTATTCAGAATAATTGTGACTTCAGCAGATTCCTGCCTTCAAGAAGGCTAGCACAGGTGTGAAATTACTGCCAGGGAGCCTTGCACTCCACATCAACGCAAAGGTTCAAATCCCACCTCTTTCACTTACATTCCAGTTTCCTGTTAATGCGCCTCGGAGGGCAGTGGAGGACAGCCCAAGTATTCCGAGTACCTGTCACCTATATGGGAGACGACCTGGATATAGCTCCTGGCTCATGGCTTTAGGCTGCTCCAGCACAAGCTATTGCCAGTATTTGGGAAATAAGTTGATGAAAGATCTCTCTTCCACTCACTCTGCCTTACAGCTGAATATGTAAACTTTAAGGAAAAAAAAAAACAACCTAAAATATGCCACATTAATATAGGAAATCATTTACATAAAAATAAATAATTGTATACAATTAGGGAAATAAGGCCTAGAACCATGGCTCAATGGCAAAATTCTAGGCTTCAACGTGCTGGGATCCCATATTAAACCAGTCTGCATCCTGGCTGCACCACTTCCCATCCAGCTCCCTGCCTGAGGCCTGGGAAAGCATGGCCTAAGGCCTTGAGTCCCTGCACCTGCATGGGAGACCCAAACGAAACTCCTGGTTCCTGATTGGCTCAGCTCTGGCCACTTGGGGAGTGAAATAGCAGATGGAAGATTTTTCTCTCTGTTTCTCCTTCCTATAAATTTGACTTTCCAATAAGAATAATTAAAAAAAAAAAAACAGGATCTAATGAAGAGCTTCAACTTCATTCAAAAGACAACAACAAAAAAACCCTGAGGATTTCCAAGGAAGAAAGCAATATGGCCCAATATCCACTTTCTATCTGTGTAATGATATTAGAAAGGTAACCTATTTATCAAAGCCTGCAAAAAAAAATCTGAGTTTGATAAAACAGGCATACCAGAAATAAAAGTTGACTGCAAATCACTTACACACATAACCAAAAAAAAGGAATATGGAAGACTGAAAAATGACTCCTATATTATGGTTGAGAAATAAGAAATCGCTTAGGAAATGAACATAGGTATGAAATATTCTAGAAAGCAAATAGTTGTATTTCAGCATACTGGGCTTAAATCTCATAAACAAATGAAAATGTGGGGCTCAAACACACAAAGGGTTTCTTAAGCATGCTTGTAAAAACTATGCACAAATTTCACAAACTTTTTGCACCAAAATAATTCTATAGGTTGTTAGAACATATCTGGACATGATACAGTGTGACAAATAAGATGACTAAGACATTAGTTTAAAGAGAACTCACAGTAACATGAATTTTGCTGAAACAGAAACCAGATCAAGGGCCCAGCACAGTAGCCTAGTGGCTGAATTCCTAGCCCTGCATGCAACAGGATCCCAGTTTCCTGCTTGTGGTCTGGGAAAGCATTCAAGGTCAGCCCAAAGCATTGGGACCCTGCACCCATGTGGGAGATCCAGCAGAGGCCCCAGGCTCCTAGTTTTGGATTGACTCAACTCCAGCCATTGCAGCCACTTGGGGAGTGAATCATTGGAAAGATTTTCCTCTGTCTCTCCTACTCTCTGTATATCTGACCTTCTGGTAAAAATAAAATAAATCTTAAATAAAGAGAAAGAAATCAGATCAAATATATGCATGAGTAAAAAAAAATGGTGAAATAATTGATACTTTATAGAAAATCTAGGGAGAAAATGACAAATCAGCAGATAATTTGTTTTAAAAAGAACTGAATGACTTGGAAGCTGAAGTCTGCAGTAGCAAACCATCCTTACAACTTAAAAAGAAAAAATTAATTTTGAGAAGACAATTAACAGCAGAAACAACAGCCACCCCAACTGGCTCAACTTACATAATTCTAAGTGAAAAATTAGCGTGCAGCAAACATTATGCCTTCATAGGTATGAAAACTAATGTGACCACATCAACTGTAGCTATCAACGGAAATTCTCAACAAGTAGGATCAAGACTCTAAAGCACTTCTTCAAGCAACTGTGCGAGGCTAGGGCACATGCCATCCTGAGGACACGGCATGATTAATGCCATAGCTACCAAGAAGCACAAGTGGGTGAGTCAAAACCAAAGAGCACAGCTCATGGTACAATTTTATTGGAATGCTCAATGTATTTTGTTTGTGACTTTCCGGATGGCCAAAGAATAATATGTTTTTAAAAACTTAGCCAAAGGTTTAACATAAACTCATCCCCACCAATAATTCCCAAACCCCAGGCTACCAGGCAAGTTTCAAAGGATTCCTTTTGTATAAAAATAATGCTTCTGGGCCCAGCGCAGTAGCACAGTGGCTAAAAGTTGTTGCCTTGCACGTACTGTGATCACATATTGATGCCGGGTCCAATCTTGGTGGCCCTGCTTCCCATCCAGCTCCCTGCTTCTGGGAAAGCAGTCGAGGACGGCCCAAAGCCTTGGGATCCTGCACCCACTTGGGAGACTTGGAAGAAGCTCCTGACCGACTCAGCACCAACCATAGTAGCCACTTGGGGAGTGAATCATCGGACAAAGATCTTTCTCTCTGTCTTTCCTCCTCTCTGTATATCTGACTTTCTAATAAAAATAAATAAACCTTTACAAAATTATACTCCTGTTCATTCATCTCGAGAACAATTTTGGAAGTGCCCTAAACAAAAATCTTTACATAGTGACCTGTCATGATTTAGCTCTTTTTGACGATGACTTCCTACTGTTAAACTGACCAATGAAGGCCACCCATTTTTTTCAGTTAATACTGTACAAAAGTCTGCATGGAAAAAGGTTAAATATTCAGGACCCCTACTTCTAATTACCTGATATTAGCACTTAAAACAAAATGTCTTGAACCTGAGCAAGCTTACAATCAGAAATAAACATTACTTTTAAACGTTTTTCTTTTACTTTCACTTCTCCAAGAATATTTTAAAATTCCTAAACAGAGGGCATAAAGGATTTGTAGGAGGAGTTCTTCAAAGAATGCAGAATGAGAACTTTATTTTTAGTGGAAAGTCAGAATTATAGATAGAAGGGGAGACAGAGAGATAGCTCATTTATCCACTGGTTCACTCCTTTAGTGTCCGCAATGCCCAGAGCTGAGCTGATCCCAAGGCAAGAACAGAACCTTCTTTCAGGTCTCCCATGTGGGTGCAGGGTTCCCAAGGCTTAGGGCTATCCTCCACTGCTTTCCCAGGCCACAAGCAGGGAGCTGCAAGGGAAATAGAGCAGCCGGGATACAAACAGATGCCAACATAGGTTCCCAGTGCATGCAAGGTGAGGACTTCAGTCATTATTCCACCATGCCAGGCCCAAAATGGGGACTCTTCATACTGAAGAATGTATGTATTTTTGAGGGAAAGGAAAAGCACTGCATAAGACAATAGCAGTCCAAAATCAGCAGACTACCCAGTGTTGTGACACAGTAGGTTAAGTCACCTCTCGCAATGCTTGCATCCCATCTCAGAGTCATGTAAGGTATTAGATGATCCACTTCCATCTCCTGCTAATGAAACTGAGAAAGCAGTGAAAGATAACCCAAGTCCATTGGATCCTGCAGTCATGTGAGGGACCCAGATGGATTTCTTGTCTCTGGGACTCAGCTTGGCCCAACCACAACTACTAGGAAACCAATTAGTGGATGGAAGAACTGTGACCCTTCCTTTGTTTAAAACTCTACTTTCAAATAAGCCTTAATTTTTCATTTTTTCTTAAAGGAGGGATAATAATAATAAAACAATAGAGAGGAATTCTAAGTGGCAGAAATCAGAGAAGATGGAAGAATGTAAAAACAACAAAGGCAACTCAATGTAGACATTCAGATTCTTAGTTATCACGGTATTAACAAGCTGACAACTTAGTGTGGTGGCAGGAACAAAAACCTGTTTTGCAAAAGTAAAGCATGGCCAGGCTGGAATTGGGGTGTAGCTAGGATGTGATAGGAGCCTATATGCGATATCACCCCAGCATCCCATATAGGCACCTGTTCACATCCTAGTCGTTCCACTTCTAAATCAGTTCCCTGCTAATTTGCCTGGAAAAGCAGTAGCAGATTGCCCAAGTACATGTGTCCTGCCACCGAAGAGAGATCCAAGTCTAGCCTGAACAAGATAGACGAGAATATCCAAGGTCACGGCCGTAATAAGAGTTGGCATTCTAAACAATAATCTGATATCAAAGCCTTATGTACTTAATTGTCAGACTATATTATATATTGAGAAAATAAACAAGTATGCCTTATACAAGGGGAAAAAAGAGGAACAGTTAAATGGCTTCCATTGTCACAGGTTCTCATTCAGTACCATGAACATTACTGATTTAAACACGAGCTCGTGGTCCAAAAGTGCACAATAAATGACAATTATCTTCAGGTAAGAGCATTAAGGTCCCTTGCTTGTTTCCATATCAGACTGGTTTTTCTTTTCAACTATTACTTCTCCCCACAGGAAAAAGGATGAGTACTCTGCCTGCAGAGCCCAGTCTGTGCTCCCTGGAGATCTACCTACCTGCAGGGAAGGTCACTTTCGTGTGATCGCTAGGGTGCAATTGAGGAGCCTGTGCTTCATATCATCTCTAAAAGTGTAAATAAACCGATGTAGTTCTGAAGGCATGAACAAGACATCATTCAACTGATTTAATCAACAATCTGGCACTGTGATTTTTTCACATATATTAACTGCCTCAGAATACTGCTCATTAAATACAAATATTCTAAGTTCATCCCCAACCACTACAGAATATATTTCTTTTACGATTATATTAAAATACACCTAGAATGGAGTCTACATTTTAAGAATAGATACAAATCTTACCCTGATTATAATTTGTGCCACATCAAAGTCTGAAACATCGTCTAAAATTGGTTGGGTATTTTCTGGTCCATAAACAAGGCAATTAAACAAGGTTTTAGAAAAGAAACCAGGTGAGGGACCACCATGAACCAAAGAAATGGCAAGCATTTTGCCAGCTTCATAGTAAAGATTCTCTTTCACAGCTGTAAATACAGATGAAAATACATAAAATGCACTTTGCTTATTATAAGATAATCATCACGTTAATGTACACATAATTAAAAATGAAAAGAACTAAGTAGACAAATATATTAGAAATGACAATGTATAATATACAGACTTCATCATCTAACATATACAAGAATGCATTTTTAAAGTATAAAGGAATAACTTATTATAGAAAATGATAAAACGGGTCATGCTGGAACCTGCAGAGCGGGTTTCACATGCTGAAGTGCCAGAAAGACGCTCAGATGCCTTACTCCAAATCTACCTTCCTAATAATGTTCCGGGGAAGGCAGTGGCAAAAGATGCTCCAAGTACTTGGATTCCTGCCACCTCTATGTGGGAGACCAAGATAGTTTCTATTCCTAACTTTGCTGCAGCTAAACTAGCTGCTGTAGCTACGTGGTAGAGTGAACTAGTCGATGGAAAAGCTCTGTTTCTGTCTCTGCCTCTCCCAAGGCTATGCATTTGAAATAAATAAATGTAGGAAGGAGAGGGGACAAGAGTCAAGGGAGAGTTCACTCAAAAATTTAAAAAATTGTAAAGCCACCATAATAACCATTATAAAGCTTTTGTTGTACGTTTGTATGTATATATAAGTATATGAACACCGACTTTTAATTTTACTCACTATATGGCAAAATTTTTTCATGACGAAATTACTTAAATCTGCAGTTAATGCATTAAAACTAATTTACAAGGTTACTGCAGTGCAAACCATCATGCCTGTTTAAATTATATGCAATGTAAATGTTACATCTAACTACATATTCTTATTTATAACTTATTAATTGATTAGCATAGTATCCGACACAAGATTAGTGTTGAAATAAATGAGGATTTTTTTAAAGATTAATGGTATGTAAATTATCTTTCAAAAATGTACAAACTGATTACTCAATATTGCTTTAGTTTTACCACATCCTTCAAACTTTAAATGTTTTACATTGTCATTTCAAATGTTTTAGTAATTTTGATAAATCAAAGGATAAATGTTTTCATCACTTTTGTCACAAAGAAATTATTAAATATAGTATAATATCTGAACTTTGTAAGTAAACTCCTTCACTAATAACCATCAATCACATTTTACAGATTTAAAAAAAAACAAGCCAGAGCAAACTAAGCTTGCAAAGCTTTAGATGTGCACAAACACTACTTTCAGATGTATTGCCTTAAATTCAAACACTCCTCATACCAAAGCTGCCTTAAGTAAATAATATTATGTTCAAAAGTTTTCACTTTAAAGGAAAGTTTGAATACAACTGCATAAATAAGTATACAGCAAAAACTATGCTTCATGGGCCAGCATAATAGCCTAGTGTCTGAATGCTGCATTGTGTAGGCCAGTATCCCATATGGGCACCCGTTCACATTCCAGGTATTACACTTCCCATCTAGCTCCCTGCTTGTGGCCTGGGAAAGCAGAGGAGGATGGCCCAAAGCCTTAGGGAACCTGCACCTGTGTGGGAGTCCCGGAAGAAGCTCCTGACTCTGGATCAGCTCAGGCTCAACCACTGAGGCCACTTGGGGAAGAACTTTCTCTCTCTCCTTGTCTCTGTATTATCTGCCTTTCCAATATAAAATATATTTTTCCAATATAAATATATATATTAAAAGGATGGGCCCAGTGCAATAGCCTAGTGGCTAAAGTTCTCACCTTGCATGACTGGGATCCCAAAAGGGACCCAGTTTGTATCGCAGCTGCTCCATTTCCCATCCAGCTTCCTGTTTGTGCCCTGGAAAAGCAGTAGAGGACAGCCAGGGCCTGGAGACTCTGCTGCACCCAGGTGAGAGACCAGGAAGAAGGTCCTGGTTCCTGGCTCTGGATTGGCTCAGGTCTCACCATTGCAATCACTTGGAGAGTGAACCAATGGATGGAAGAAGATCTCTATCGCTACCTCTCCGCCTCTTTCCAATAAAATCCAAATAAACCAGGAAAAGCAGTTAAGGACGGCCAAAGGCTGTGGGACTCTGCACCCGTGTGGGAGACCTGAAGAGCTCCTGGCTTCCGGTTGCCTCAGCTCTGGCAGATGTGACCACTCAGAGAGTGAATCAACAGGTGGAAGGCCTGTCTCTCCTCCTCTTTGTATACCTCTGCCTTTCCCCTAAAAATAAATCTTTAATAAATAAATAAATGGATAGGTAGATAAATCTTTAAAAAAAAAAAAAAAAAGATGTTTCAGACAACTATGAGAAGCACGGGGAAATGAAGTTCACAGGGAACAACCAGAATTCTTTCAAAATACCTCTTGCAGGAAAATGTTATATAAGCTCCTGAAAAAAATGCTAGATTATTTTGACATGGCTGCTTTAATTGCATTAATTTCTCTCTGGTAATAAAGACAAAAGAAAATTCATCTACAAAACTATCTACACAAAGAAAATTCTTGAGCCAGGTGCAAAGACTCAATTGGCTATTTTCCCTTTGTAAGCGCTAGGATCCTGAGTGGGTGGCAATTCAAGTTTCAGCTGCTCCACTTCCTATCCAGGTCCCTGCTGCGGTGTGAGACAGCAGCAGAGAACGGCCCTACGTTTTGAGACCCTGCACACCCATGTGGGAAATCCAAAAGTGGCTGCTGGCTCCTGCAAACAGAGCAGTTCAGCTCTGGCTGCTGCAGCCACTTAGGGAGTGAACGAGTGGGCAGAAAATTTTTCTCTCTGTGAATTTCCTTTCTAATAAAAACAAATAAGTCTTTAAGAAATAGAATTCTTGGAGCTATTTTAGTGGTGCAACAGGATCATCTTCTGCCCTAGGGCACTGATATCCAATATGGGCACTGATATCCAATATGGGCACTGGATAGTGCTTCATCTGCTTCATTTCCGATCCACACATGCCTCTGCGGCCATGGATGGAGAACAGCAAATGAGGGCCCAAGCTCTTGGAACACGGCACCCACATAGGAGACAGGGAAGACGTTCTTGGTTCCCAAGATGGACTCGGCTCAAGATCGGTTCCAGACCGGCACAGCTCTGGTCATTGTGACCATTTGAGTAGTAAACCAGCAGATGGAAGATTTTCTCTCTCCGTCCTCCTTCCTTGTCTATAAAGGCCTATACTATTGTAATAATTTGGGGAAAATCAGTCAGGGTAAGAATTTAGGGAGGTGCAGAGAAATCCCAAAACCTATGCAATTGTACCATAAGATTCTAAATAAAAAGAATGTTAAAAAAAAATTGCCATCCAAATAAAAATAAATAAATCTTAAGGGGAAAAATTCTATAAAACAGAACACAGAAGCATTTGCTGCCTATGGGACAGAAAACTATGTATGTAAAAAACCCAGGTTGTAAAGAAATATGTCAATTGTACATTGTAAGTACATAAATAAGACAAGTGAATATAGCCATCCATCACATCTGGCCACTCCATTTAAATGAAATAAGAATGAATAAAATTGGGGGGGGGGGGGAATTGCTATGATACAGTGAGTTACGCTGCCTTCTACAGAACTGACATTTCTTATGCTTCCAGTGCTACTTTTGGCTGCTGGACTTCCAATTCAGCTCCCTGCAGATATGCCAGTGAAAACAGCCATAGATGGCCCCAACGTGGCTGGGTGCCTACACCCATTTAAGGAAATGTGGATGAAATTCCAGGCTTTACCCTGGTCCAGCCCTGACCATTGCAGCTGTCTGCAAAGGAAAACAGTGGATAGAAGATTTCTCTGTTGGCTTCTTTCTGCACAGCTCCGTAAGTCTGCCTTTCAATTAAATTAACAAATCTTTACCAAAAAGTAAATATAAAATGATGTTAAAACTGAATTTTGAGGGGGCAAGCACATTAGGCTAGTATCTAAATCCTCGCCTTGCATCTTCCGGGATCCCATACAGATGCTGGTTCATAAGGATGACCCAAAGCCTTGGGACTCTGCAACCACATGGGAGATCCAGCAAAAGGCTCTGGCTCCTGGTTTCAGACTGGCTCAGCTCTGGCTGTGGTGGCCACTTGGCGAGTTAACCAGTGGACTGAAGAGCTTTCTGTGTTGCCTCCTGTGTATCTGCTTCTTCAATAAAAAATAAAATAAATCTGGAAAAAAAAAAGAAAACTTAAAAACACCCCCAATTTTGAAATTATTCCAATGAGGATATTGCTGTAAAGTACAAGTATTCTCAAGTTAAAAGAAAGTTTCACTAGAAACTTTGGTTTTTGAAAAATCACCCTTTTTCTGTAATTCTATCAGCATTTCATTAATAAGCATTTAATCCACAGTATTTAAACTAGAGGAATAAAAATTAATTCTAACCAGGTACATAGGTGCTTTTCTATACAAGTTATATTCAGTAAGTACAATAATAAAGCAATTACCTTGAGAATTTAGAGACAAGTTCTTTGACAAGGACCCTTCAAACAATGATGAGTTCTCAAGATGCTGCATTAAGAGACTTAGAAATTCGTGCTTTGACCCAGGATGCTCTCTTCCAAAAGGATCATCTTCACTAACATAAGCAACTTCAATTATTTGTAAAGGATTAAAATTTTGATTTCTGAATTCATCTAAGGCACTATTCCAGATATTGCCTTTGTTGATACATAACCTTTTAGTTTTTTTCTTAATTTGGAATCCTAACTCTATGAGTATGGTTGAAATATCTCTTCTAAACTTGTTGCCTTGCCTATAAAACATGAATTTAAACACAGATGTTAAGTACTTTTTAAAAAGATATAACAAACCAATTACAACAACCAATAAAAAAGAAAAAATAATTAAGAGGACCTTCTCTCTCAACTCTCACCCAAAAGCAGAACAATGGTTACAACTAGAACCAAAGCAGTTATATAACACTTGGTTTTATTTTGTTATTTCTTACACACATATTCTACAAACTCAAATCACTTGCCTCAACAGATTACACTGTTGTGTATTTTCTATCATAAAGCTATAGTATATACTAAAGCTGATATTATAAAATCAACCCAATAGAACTTTTATTCTAGACTATTAATTCTCATAGTCCTACAGCATCAAAGCAATAACAACAACTAGCAACATGTTAAAATGTAGATTTTGCGGAGCTGGAGGTGTGGTGCAGCAAGTTAAGACTTCTCTAATACAGCTTCTGGTTAACACAGCTCAAAGGCAGCATAGAACCCAAGAGATGGGGTCTTTGCAAACTACGAGGGAGGCCTAGCTTGGGTACCAGGCTCGTGGCTTTAGCCTAGACCAGTCCTGGCTGTTGTGGTCACTTGGGAGTAAAGCAGCAATGGTAGATCTCTCACTTCAGGCACTCTGGTTTTCACATAAACAAATAAATATTTGGAAGAAAATACCAATTACTGAGTCCCACAATATAGCTTCAGAATCAAAACCTGCTTTTACCAATTCCAGTAATTGTCTGGATTAATTCAAAAGCATACTAAATCTGTTTTTCAATGTGTAATTTGAATTAATGTATTCAATGTGCATGAATCACCTTTCCATTTTTAAAGGGTCCAGCACCACAGCCTAGTGGCTAAAGTCCTTGCCTTGCATCACTGGCGCCAACTCCTATCCCAGCTATTTCATTTCCCATCCACTTCCTGCTTGTGCCCTGGGAAAGCGGTAAACAGCCTAAAGCCTTGGGGATCTGCACCAGCACAGGAAACAGGAAAGCTCCTAGGTTCAGATCACCTCAGCTCCAGCCTTTCTGGCCACTAGAGAAGTGAACCAGTGGATGAAAGCTTTCTGTCTGTCCTTCGATTTGTAAATCTGACTTTCCAACAAAACTAAATAAATCTTAAGACAACAACAAAACAACAACCAACAAAAACCTGAGTAGCAGCACTACGGTGCAGCACGCTGGGCTGCTGTTTGGAGTGCCAGTATCCCATATGGGCACTGGTTCAAATTCCAGCTGCTCAACTTTTGGTCCAGCTCCTTGCTAATTTGCACGGGAAAGCAGAGAAACACAGCACAAGGACTTGCGCCCCCGTCACCCAGATCTGGCTACTGACTGTATTTTGACCAAGCACTGGGTATTTGCAGCTATTTGGGAAATGGATCAGGGGATGAAAGTATCTCTTCTCCACTTCTTCCTCTATTTCTACAATTCTGATCTTCGAAAAAATAAATGTTAAACAAAAAGCTCGTTCCATTTCAAGACATTACCATAGCCACTATGGTCCATTTTTTTTTCCCCCAATATCCCAATCATTAACCCAAGGTGAAGAAAACACAGAATTATCTCTTCCTGTAGTAGGCTGGATCCTTTTCTCTCCTAAGGGTCAGTGGAAATGTTGATGTCCCTCTTTTAAAACATTGCTTCTTAAAGTAGAGACATGAGTCAAGCTTCCTTTGTTATACATTGTTGGGATCCAAAATATAATCATTTATTTATACACATTTGCTTTTTATAAGTTTACTGATTTTTCCTGGAAAGGCAGATACACAAACAGAAGGAGACAAAGATATTCCGCCCACTGGTTCATTCCCCAAGTGGCTGCAATGGCCAGAGCTGACCCAATCCAAAGGGAGGAGCATCTTCTGTGTCTCCCACACTGATGCAGAGTCCCAAGGCTTTGGGCTGTCCTCTACTGCGTTCCAAGGCCACAAGCAGGGAGCTGGATGGGAAGCGTGCTGTCAGGATTAGAACTGGTATCCATATCAGATCCCAGCACTTGCAAGATGTGAATTTAGCTATTAAGCCACTGTACCAGCCCTTTACCACAATTATTTAAAAATAATATGAGTACATGCTTGGTGCTTAGGAAACATGCATCCCATATTGGAGGGCCTGAATCAAGTCCAGGTTACTCTGCTTCCTAATGTGCAGCCTGGGAAGGAGGCAGGAGATTCTGGTTTAACTACATTGGTCATGCCACCCTTGGACACGTCCAGACTGAGAGCTCTAGGCTCCTAGTTTTTGCCTCACCCAGCTCACTTGTTTCAGACATTTAGATAATAAACCGGGAGATGGATGATTTCTGTCGGTAAAATAAAATGAAAAACAAAAAATAACAATAATAAAAATAGATCCTTAATACAAATTATAATACATAATTAATGAAAACAGATTTTTAAGTTGTTCTAATGAAGTTAGCATTTTTATTTTTTAACATTTTCCTACTTGAAAATAAGAAAACCTGTTACTATTGGAGAACAGCAAGGAAGGAGAGAAGGGAGCAAGAGGCAAAGGTCCTTTACTGAGCGGTTCTCTCAAATACCCGCAACAGCTATGGCTTGGCTAGACTGCACCTAGAAGCCAGGAAGTCCATCTGCTCTCCCACCCACAAAGGCGGCAGGAGGCCAAGCACTTGGTCTATCTCCTGATGCTTTCCTCAGCACATCAGCAGGAAATGGGATCAGAAGCAGAGCAGCAGGCAGATGCACCGGAACATCTGGCATGTTGTGCCACAATCTCAACCCCACGAGCAGCATTTTAAAACAGTAACTGAGTAGTATTTTGCTTATCTGCAAACTGACATTTATCAAGTATTCTAACAAAACCTCTTTTACATCTTCCAGCTATTTAAACCTGGAATTACTTTTAATGACACAGTACTTAATCATGTTTACAAACTAATGTTATTTTTCTACTTTTTTCTGTTTGGGGAAAGCAAGTATTTAAGAACTCCTTTTGCAAAATCTGCATAAATTTAACAAAAGTCATACAGCCAAACAAATATCTGACAGAGTAAAGTATGAATTCCAGCCTTGTTGAAATATTTGTGTGAATTCCAAACTGAGGGTTATCTCTCTTTTACCAGTATGCCTTAAATGTTTTTAAAAGTGTTGATATTTAAAGTTTTGACATTGACAGTAAACATATTAAACAATTATTACATCATCAACAAATCACCTTTATATTAAATAGGGCTATTTTTATAAAGTGGCATGGTATGATATTTTCATATCCTGTCTTATTCTACAAACAGTATTTAAAAAGCATATTCCAGAACAATATTTATCAAACTATCTTGCAAATGATATACAGGAGAAAAATTTTTACAAACTATCTCACTTTATAATAAAGTAAGTTCACATTTATTCTTCCTATATGCACGGCTATCTGAAATTCTGCATTCCATTAAATCCCATTTACTTTATGTAATGCCAGACACAATGATTTCCATGATCAAATGTTGGATTCTGCTATTTGAAAAAACATTTCTAGGTAATTTTATAATAAGCTAATATTCTAAATGGCATTTCCAAGCTCACTTCTAAAATATTTTTCTAATTTAGAATACCCACCTAAGTAGGTCTTTACTCTGGGCTCCAGGTGACTGTCTGGGTAATTTAGGTGATGATTCCTCCAAACAGTTGCTAACTGCCAAATTATTAGAGTTGGATAATGTATGTTTTTTTGCTTTTTGGAAACCTATAAATTTAAATTCTAGTATTAGCATAGTAGAGTGCACATATAAACTTTGAAATATGTATTTGATTATAAACCACTTTATTAAAAAAAAAATAAAATATTACCTGAATTGTAGATAATACTTCTACATTCCAAACACTCCCAATTTTGGTCCCATGATCGTAGTAAGGAACAGGCTAAATGTGTTCCACTGGAACCGCAACACTGACAACGCTTTATTTCCCATTTGCTATGAATGTTCAAAAGAAAAGAAGTTTATGTTTTAGCATTAGCTAAATTCACCTCCAATCACCAAGCACTGCCATAGAAAACTGCCTGTTTTAATACTGTAATTCTTCCCAAAGTCTTAATGTTCCCTGTTTCATATATGTTTATAACCACTTCGTCTACATATAACTACTAAATTAAAAGCCTAAAAACTTACATCAACACAGATACATGCACAGACAAAAAATATCAACATAAAATGAACAGATTTTTCTTTATATCTAGAGATGATGCATACTGTTACATCAGTGTATTTGCATGGAAAAGCAGCAAACAGTAAATTTCAAGGTGAGGAGTATTTCCTGGGCCTGCTACAATAGCCTAGTGGCTAGAATTCTTGCCTTGCACACCTGGGATCCCATGTGGCCACCCATTTGTGTTCTTGCTGCTCCACTTCCCAACCAGCTCCTTGCCTGTGGCCTGGGAAAGCAGTGGAGGATGGCCCAAAGCTTTGGGACCCTGCACCACTGTGAGAGACCCGGAGGAAACACACAGCTCCTGATCAGCTCAGCTCTGACCATTTCTGCCACTTGGGGAGTGAATCATTGGATAGAAGAACTTTTGCTCTGTCTCTCCTTCCCTTTCTGCATATCTGACTTCATAATAAAAATAAATTTAAAAAAAATTTAAATAAAAAAATAAAAAGTGAGTACTATTTCCTAAAATAAGCTTGCTCAGACACTTCAGGTATTTTATAGCACAACAGGGTACAGATTTCCTACTTGGCTCATATCTTTTTTTTTTTTTTTAAAGATTTCATCTACTTATTTAAAAGGAAGACTTGGCAGTGGGTGAGTGTACAATAGAGATCTTCCATCCTCTAGGTTTCTCCCCAAATGGAGATAGCTTGGTCTGAAGCCAAATGGAGATGGGTTGGCCTGAAGCTTCCTCGAGGTCTTCCCACATAGGTAACAGGGATCCAACCATTTGGGCCATCCTCTGCTGCTTTCCCAGATGAAGTGGGGTGCATGTGAGAAGCCAGCATGCAACTGCAACTTTACATGCTATACTGCAACACTGGCTCTGGCCCATATGCATAATCTATCTCATCTGACTTAGCCCTCCACATAGGATTCTGCCTGCCCATCAACACCCACCTTTTCTGTATGAATGAATATGGGCTTCCCCCTTTCTGGTGCAGGTGTAACTATAACATTTTATTTAATACAGAATTGGACATCATTCCCTGAGTATGTAGAAATGTTATGCTGAGATATAGGCAGATACCCTTTCCCACTCCACAGGTCTGGGAACATCATACTAGCCTTCTGCTCGCAGGCATGAGCGTGCAGCATGTGTGTGCCGCATTCTCTTTCCCAATAGCTCTGTGCGCTGATGAGGAGGGGACAGCTGACTAGAATCCTCACTAAGCACCAGGCCTAACACGCTTTCACATGAAGAAAACTTAATCCCTACAACCTCAGAAAGCAGAGATAATCTTGCTATCCAAAGAACAGAAGTCGTAAGCAATATGCCCAATCAAGTTTCAGAGTGAGGTTTCCAACCTACTTAACCTGGCTAAGCACTACACTGTTCTTTCCCTCACCAATCTGCTTTACCCTCACCAAGAAGGCCAGGAGTGAGATTACAGAGAGCAGACAGCCCGCTGCTGTATTCCAGCAGACAAGGCAAAAAGTAGAGCAATGATAAAAAGTATGGGATTAAAACAGTAGTTTTTGCAGTTACTGATTATATGACCAATGGGATAAAAAAAATACAGCTGTAGTTAAAAGCTGCCTAAAATGATTTTTTAAAATATTTTAAAAACATTAATAAATGTGTTGTTTCTTAAAAGGCTATATATATACGACCTCACCTGAAACTCAGCACAACACTTGCAGGAGGTATTGTGCATGTTAGTATTTACAAAGGAATAGCAGGGCCGCATCAACCCAACATAGGCAAGAACAAACATTCCCTTAGAACTGACTGAAATCTCTGCTCCTGAAAGACTCACAATATGCTACAGTGAATACTAAGCTACTGCCTGTGAGTCTGGCACCCCATACCGGTGCTGGTTCCAGTCCCAGTTTGTCCACTTCCCATGCAGTTCTCTATTAACGGCCAAGGAAAGGAGCAGAAGCTGATCCAAGTGTCACCCTCATGGGAGACCCAAAGTTCCCAGATCCTGGATTTGGTCTGGAACAGTTCCAGCAGTGAGGGCACTTGGGACTGAAAAAGTGGATTGAAGATCTCTCTGTCCCGCCCTAGTTTTCTCTGTCACTGTTTTAAATAAAATAAATCTTTAAACAGAAAACACCAATTATACTGTAACAAGCACATGAAGGTAACCCCTTCCTAGCAGCGAGATTTAGGAGTAAGACCACTAGCACAGAAAACCTTTCAGGGGTGGCCCCATGCAGTAACAGCACAGCTTCTGCCTGCAGCATCAGCACTGCATGTGGGCATCAGGTTGTGTGCCAGCTGCTTCACTCCTGGCAAAAGAGTGGAGGATGGCTCTCAGGCTTGGGCCCATGCACCCACATGAAGGACCAGGAGGAAGTTCTTGGCTCCCGACTAGACCACCTCCAGCTTTTGTGACCACTTAGGAAGTGAATCAATGAAGGGAAGATTTCTTTCTCGGTGTCTGTCTCTCTGAGTAATTCTGCCTTTCAAATAAAAATAAAAAGAAATCTTGAACCCGGTGCGGTGGCGTAGTGGTTAAGGTCCTTGCCTTGCACGCCCGGGATGCCATATGAGCGCAGGTTCTAATCCCGGCAGCCCAGTTTCCCATCCAGCTCCCTGCTTGTGGCCTGGAAAAAGCAGTAGAGGACGGCCCAAATCCTTGGGACTCTGCACCCGTGTGGGAGACCAGGAAGAGGCTCCTGGTTCCTGGCTTTGGATTGGCTTAGCACCAGCCGTTGCGGACACTTGGCGAGTAAACCAATGGACGGAAGATCTTCCTGTCTTTCCTCCTCTCTGTGTATCTGACTTTGCAATAAAAATAAATAAATCTTAAAGAAAAAAAAAAGAAATCTTAACAAACATACGCAGACACACACACATACATAGCAGCCACGTGCAAAGTGAACTAGCAGACAGATAAAGATTTTTGTCTTTTCTCCTCTCTGAAAATCTGCCTCTCCAAAAAAATAAATATTTTTTTAGCAAATTAACAAACAACATATTTTAGTACCTTTCTCAACCAATTTTGGGCTAAAATGTGTCCTCCAAAAATTCATGTATGCCCATGACCTAAAAAAGTTAACTACTTTCTTAGGATTTTTAAGCCAAATCAGGTCATATGTATGGACTCCAATCACTACAATTGGTATTATTTTATATAAAATACATAAACATATGGATGTAACACATGCACACATCTAAATAAAAGGAAATGATACTGCAAAACAGAAAGGCACAACCTTGCAAAAACACAGTTACAAGCAGCCATCTCATAAGCCCCAAACGGAGCGCTCAGAAAAACACCCAACTGCCATCTTCCAGATCTAAGACTTCTAGTATTCACAACTGTGACAATACCAACTTTCGGTTTTTAAGACAAACCATCTTAGGTATTTTTTTATGACAGCACAGGTGAACTAGGTCTTTTATGTGCATTGTGCTATTACAGCATCCGCTAGGCTAGCCACATTTCCAAGTGCCTAACATCACAGAAGGCTAGTGGATGTGCGTGTGTGTGTGTGTGTGTGTGTGTGTGTGCGTGCGCGCGTGCGCGCGCACTCAGAGAACAATGGAGGTCTAGATAATATTTACAGACTATATGAACTGCAATAATATTTTCTATAAAACACATATAAACTTAGAATAAACATAACTTATCCGAGGTTAAAATTTTAAACATAATCAAGAGCAAAAGTGCATTTAATTAACTAGAAAATCTACTTTTTCAATTGAAGGCTTAATCATGAAACTGTTAAGCAAAACTCAATTTTCAGAAATACCTATCAGGTGCGTTATAGTTTCGCCCTTCCTTGCAACGACATCTTCGGACATCACAACGCTCATAGTGCTGCAGAAGGTCTTGATAAGCATTATCTTCTAATTCCCAAGATGCATCTCTATAAGCAAAAGTGTGGAAGGGAAGCAGGAAGAAGTTGGTTAGCAGGTGCTAAAATTTTTATTACACAATAAGGTAACAAGATAATGACAAGTCACATGTTATGCAAAACAGTTTTGAATATTTCACTTCTAAAAAATGAAAAATGTTTCAGGAATGAACACTTAATCTGATTTGAGCATTACACATGTGTATACATATATATGTATTGAAATGATACTACATAAAGAGTACACATGCTGGCATCCCACATGGGTACCATTTCGAGTCATGGTTGTTCCACTTCTGATCCAGTTCCCTGCTAATGTGCTTGGGAAAGCAATAGACAATGGCTTAAGAGCTTGGGCCCCTGCACCCACGTAGATCAGGAATAGGTTTCTCCTGGCACCTGGCTTAGCAGTTTTGGCTATTGCAGCCCTTTGAACAATGAGCCAGCAGATGAAAGCTTTCTATTTTTTTTTTCTTTTTTGTTTTTCCCTGTCTCTCTATAACTCTTCCTTTCAAATAAATCTTTTAAAAATTATCATTAGGGCCCAGCAGCGTGGCTTAGTGGCTAAAGTCCTCGCCTAGAACCCGCCAGGATCCCATATGGACTCCGGTTCTAATCCCGGCAGCTCCACTTCCCATCCAGCTCCCTGCTTGTGGCCTGGGAAAGCAGATAAGGATGGCCCAAAGCTTTGGGACCCTGCACCCGCGATTGGGAGACCTGGAAGAAATTCCTGGATCCTGGCTTCGGATTGGCACAGCATTGGCCATTGCGCTCACTTGGGGAGTGAATCATCAGATGGCAGAAGATCTTCCTCTCTATCTCTCCTCCTTTGACTTTCCAATAAATAAATAAATCTTCTAAAAAATTATCTTTAAAGTTCAGATCTATTAGTGTTATTTTATTCTATACTTTGTCTCACAGTGAATTTTAAAATGCTTAATGAAAACTTAAATTTTCTACATGTTCCTTAACATTTTACTTCTCATTTTTAATTTCAAATTTACTATCATTTCTAGATTCCTCAATTTTAATCATTAAAAAAATTCTTTTCATTCGCAATAAACTACTTCCTGACTTCCTTACATACATTTATAAAAACCATATTTGAAGTCTGAAGTAACTGTGTATAAAATCAATCAAATGTGGACTCAACTGAGGTACTTGTATTGAAAGACTGGAAATCAACTGAGACAATTATATCATGGTCCCAGTTCTCCAGGTGTCCCTGCTCACCCAAAGTGGAGAAGGCTTTGCATTTGCATCATCACGGGAAATGGTTACCTGTCTAGAATCCGTCAATCAGAGACAAAGAATGATTTCTAAAGTAATTAAATCCAGTATTTAAAACACCATATTTTTGGTTAAAAACTAATGTTACTCACTTTTCTGGAATATGAATTCCCATTCTCAACATCTCTTTCTGAAAGATGTCATTATTATTGCATATTGTACATCTAAAGAAAAATACTCCTGCATTTATTGCTTGAGCCTACGGCGGAAACACAAATCTGCTGTTAAATTTGTTATCAGGTTACAACCCAAATGACACACAGGACATGTGCTGCTCTGTACTTAATAGATTATGAAAACAGTTTCCATGCTAGCGAATCCCAAACTTAGTAAAATTGAATCTCAAACATAGTAGAATCTATGTTAGCACATTGCTAACATCACAAGATTTTTTTTTTTGTCCAGACTTAAAATGTTAGAGTGAGCTGATATGTGACTCTGCCTAGCTTTACATCCAACAAAAATAACTATTTTTATTCCTAAATAATGATGTTGCTACCTATACTATGAGGAAAAGAATCTACCTTGTAAAAATGTTGTCACAAATATTCCTGCTGTTTTTATTTAACATAATCTATTGAAGGAGTTTCCTTCCCAGAAAAAGATTAGCATAAAAACTATTCTCAATGTCACAAAAATTACAAATATAGAAGCCACAGAGAATACTCACAAAGAAAAGAAATTATTAAGGCAACTAGAAAGAGTAGCCAGTCCTCAGTTAAAACTAGTAGCTCACATTCACTGAACAAACATGTAAAGCCTACTTATAAACGCCAAAAGTCTATGCTAGATACTAAAAGTCAAAACCAATAAATAACTCGAACCAATTTCAAATTCAGGAAATTCTAGTGAGTAGTCATATTTGAGAACACAGAACTGTAATGCTGGACTGGGTAGCAAATATACTAAATTTAGAACAATATGGAGAAAATTAGCATGGCCCCTATATAAGAATAACATGCAAATTTATGACGTGCCTCATATATTTCTAAAATAAATAAAAACAAATACTTATGGCCCAGCACAGTGGCCTAGCAGCTAAAGTTCTCGCCTCCAGTGTACTAGGATACCACATGGGTGCCGGTTCTAATCCCGGTGGCTCCATTTCCCACCCAGCTCACTGCCTGTGGCCTGGGAAAGCAGTCGAGGACGGCCCAAGGACTTGGGACCCCGTACCCATGTGGGAGACCTGGAAGAAGTTCCTGGTTCCCAGCTTCGGATTGGCACAGCACCGGCCGTTGTGCTCACTTGGGAAGTGAATCATCAGACAGAAGGTCTTTCTCTCTGTCTCTCCTCCTCTCTGGATATCTGCCTTCCCAATAAAAATAAATAAATATTAAAAAAATAATAATAAATAATAAATATATCTGTAGGGGTTTGCTTTGTGGCAGAGTGGGTTATGTGGCTGCATATGATACTGGCATCCTTATGGGGCCAAGTATGAGTCCAAGCTGCATTATTTCAAATCTGGCTCCCTAATAATGTGCCTGGAAAAGCAATAGAACCTGGCCTAAGTGCTGGGGCCCCTCCATTCAGGTGGGAAATGTGCAAGAAGCTATGGACTCCTACCAGCACTTGGTTGCCAGATCTAATTTAGAATCAGAAATTTCAGTGATTTGTGCTTGCCCTCTGTGTGTGTGTGTGTGTGTGTGTGTAAGGGAACACATGGGTACTTCTTGCCAGTTGTATGCACCTAAAATCATCTTCTTTCTTCACCATTGTACAAATCATACTCCCAGTTGATGAAGGTTACTTGTGTTTTTCTGTGCAACTTCTTCTGTCAGTCCTAATCCTGTTGCTTTAACATTACATTTAGTTCAAATGTTTATTTATTCATTTATTTGAGAGGCAGACAAATATACACACAAACTGAGCTCTTACCCGGTGGTTCACTCCTGTTCATTCCCCAGATACCTACAATATCTTAGGTCGGAGTAGTCTGGAACCAGAACCTAGAGCTCAGAAACGCAACCCATTTCTCTCACTGTGGTGTTAGAGATCCAGCTATCTGACCCATTACCTGCTACTTCCAGGGCATGGACAGGTAGCTGGAATTGAACCCAGGCACTCCAGGATGAAACACTGGTATTCTAATTGCCATTTAAAGAATTAGTGGGATTTCCACTATTTCCTCAACAAAGTACGCTTCACTCTGCCACTTTTAGCTGAATAATCTTAGGCTTAATAGCTCAAGGAACATAACACAAAACTAATTAAGTCTTATTATTTTGACTTTATTGGTGTTTTCTTTTTTAACAATTTAGTTACTTATATGAAAGGTGGAATGACAAGTGGTAGAAAAACACACAGATAGACAAATCTTTTCTTTCATCAGCTGATTCACTACTCCCCAGTGACTATAAAAGTCAGGGCTGGACCAAGTCAAAGCCACGAGTCGGGAACCTCCATCCACGTGTCCCACAGAGATCTGGAGCAGTGTTTGAGCCATCAACTGCTACCTCCAGGCACATTAGCAAGAGGCCAGATTGGAAGCAGAGCAGCCAGGACTTGAATTAGTACTCTATCAAGAGAAGTAGATTCTCAAGCAGTGGCTTAGCCTCCTGCCCCCTGTCCCAAATACCTGAAACACTGACTTTGTATTGGCTTTATTAAAATATAAGGAAATTTCTATCTTCTAATTTTAACAGATTCAAGATGGTCATTTGGCCTGGCAATAAAGACACGAATTAAGATACCCCTCAATCCACACCCAAGTGCCAGATTTATTTCTATGCCATGCCTTCTTACTAATAAGGACATTGGGATGCAGCAGGGAAAGCTCAAGCAACTGGACCCACGCTACACAGATGGAAAATATGGATGCACTGTTACTTCCCAGCTTTGCCTGACAGAACTCTAGCCAGTAGGGGCGATTTTGAGAGTGAAGCGGCACATGAGAGCTATTTAATTCTCTTCCTCTCAAACATTCTTTAAGATAATAAAAACAGTATTAATTTGAACTAAATTTGTTATTTAGTATTCTATTATATTTATTAACTGGCACTTTTACAAACATACATCTCAAATTTCAAATTGATAATAATTTGAATCTTGTAAAAAAAAAATATTCAAAGGACTGGCATTGTAGCATAACAGATTAAGCCTACACCTGCAATCCCAGTATCCCACAGGGTGCTTCACTTTCAGTTTAATTCCTCGCTAACACATGTGGATAAACAGTAGAAGATGGCCCAAACTCTTGGGCCCCTGCACCTAGTGTGGAGAGACCTGGATTGAGTATCCTAGCTCCTAGCTTAAGCCTAGCCTGGCCTTGGCCTTTATGTCCATTTGAATAAACTTGTACATAGAAGATCTCTCTTTCTTTCTCTTTCTAATTCTGCCTTTCAAATAAATAAAATCAATCTTTTAAAACGTTCAAGCATTTTCCAAATAAAAGAAATTTTACATTCTATTTACCTGAAAAGAAGCCAAAAAAGTTTTGCATTTGCTTAATTATCAAACAATGCATTTTTTTTATTAATGTTTCCTACAGGAAAAAAACTGGCCTATCGACATCCAATCTAATCTTATCTTAGCCTGTTTTTAAGTTTACTTTCAATTTCACATACTTTGGTTTCTACAGCTGAAATACATAAGTGGAATTTTGGAATTAAAATGTGGACTTTATTCATTGTGAAATAAAAACAAAATGTTTAGGTAAAAACAAAATTTTTAAAAATTAAAAAAAAATTTTTATAAGTATAAGTATACTTTTAAAAAGTTGCATGTAACCTAAGCCATCCTGTTAATCAAACACTTCAATAGTAAACTTTGTATTTAAAATGGGTTTTACTGAATGCTTTAAAGCTATTTGTAAGATATAAATTGTTAAAGATTATAACATACATATCAATTATTTCTAATTTAAAATTCTAAGTAGCAACTGATGAATTTTATATCAATCATAGAAAGATTATAAAATATATCTTACCTGTAAACAGTCTCTATGGAACCAAGCATTCTTACAGCAAGGACTTCGTAATATGCTGTAAGTTGGAACAGGTTCAATGCATTCCAAACAAATGGTGCATGGTAAGGAGTCTGTATACTTATTAGATGTAATTACTTGAACAGGTCGATGCTTCCAACAAAATGACCTAAAAATGTAATTTAAGAATAGTATCTAATGCATTACAAAGCATTGCTAGCTAGCATTATAATTCACGTACACGAGAGAAAAACTTTCCAAAGGTATAGAGCCTTAGCATTATAAACTACACATAACAATAGATGATCAGATGTAGCCTAGTGGGTTAAGGCCACTGCCTTCAATACCAGCATCCCCAATGGGTGCTAGTTTGAGTTTTAGCTATTCCATTTTCCATTCAGCTCCCTGCGGATGTGCCTGGGAAGGAACCAAAAGATGGCCTCAGTGGTTGGGCCCCTGTACTCATGTGGAAGACCCAGATGATGCTCTCTCTCCTGGCTTACTCCTGGCCCAGCCCTGGGGCTGTTGTGATTCTTTGGAGAGTGAACCAAAGGACGGAGGATCTGTCTCTCTCCCTCTCCCTCTCCCTCTCTCTCTCTCTCTCTCTCTCTCTCTCTCTCTATAGATATATATATAAATATATATTTCAAATATATAAATTGGATCTTAAAACAATAACAATGGATGATCAAAAAATCAATACAGTGCATCTTAAGATATAAACCTTCCAGAGGAAGTAAGACTTCATATTGAATTTTACCACTATTAAGAATCCTACTTAACTTTATTCGCAGAGTACTAATGTTTAAGATTGTTTTGGGAAGCAAATATTTTCAGGAGTGTCTGAGGGCAAAATGTGTCTGATGTAAGACAAAATGCATATGCCTTTCATTTAGTTAGAATATACAAAGTACTAAGAAATGAAAGTGGACTAGTAACTTGCAAGAGTGCTGTGACAATATAGAATTACATAAGGTGACAAATTAACCAATAAATCAACTGTTTTGTGTTGTATCCCAGAACTGAAAGCTGAAGCTAAGCACTGTCATATTAAGTCCATTTCAGACACAGAAAGTCTCAAGACTTGATAGGCAGAAAAGCCCCCATTAAAACTAGGGGTGGGGGGGCAAGGAATGGGATATTTATGTCTCATTATATGTTGCATATGTATAAGCATTACAAGCAAGATCTCATTGGGATGCCCATTTTCCACACTTTTAAAAAAACAACCGTCTTTCACATGTAATAGTTAAATAACTCACGCAAAGTTGCCAGTAAACTGGAAAATACATTCTTCCTGAAGTCCACACGGGAAATGATAACTCCGTTTACACCGAGGTGCAACACATCCAATCGAGGCACCATTTTTCTTGCAAACACAGCACTTCTGGAAGAAATCATGAAAACAGAAAACAGCACATAAATTTGAGCACTATAGTAAGACCATGATAAAAACCAATCGTCCTCATGGGGAGTCTAAAAATTATTTTCACCGGAACAGTTGCGATGACATAAATCACCCGAAAGAAAAACCTAAAAACAATGTGAACAGAACAGGAACCTCTTTTCCTTCCAACTTTGAAAATATTTTAAGCTGAAGGATTTTCACAAACGTAGTGGTTATACACACAAACCAACCTGAAATCGAAATGGGAAGAAATATGAAACTCTAACACCAAGAAAACTTTAAAAATTGATTGGTGTAAACCTAGCTAATACCACTGTATACTAACAAAATGAAAAGCTGTTACATACTTTGAGTTTTAAACACTGGTTCGCATAAATACATGCTTAAGTCCTAATTCCCAATACCTATGAATTGAAAGGGATATAAGATGTTTACAGATGGGTCCAGTGTGGTAGCGGTAATGGCTAAAGTCTTCACCTTGGACGTACTGGGATACCATATGTGCACTGCTTCCATTTCTGGCAGCCCTGTTTCCGATCCAGCTACCTGCTTGTGGCCTAGGAAAGCAGTCAGTAATGACCCAAAGCCTTGGGACCCTGCACCCATGTGGGAGCTCCAGAAGAGGTTCCAGGCTCCTGGTTTTAGATCAGCTCAGTTTTAGCTGTTGCGTCAACTTGGGGAGTGAATCATTGCACAGATCTTCCTCTCTGTCTCTCCTCCTCTCTGTATATCTGTCTTTCCAATAAAATCAAACTTAAAGTTTGCAGATGGGATTAACTTAAAACCTCAGCACAGTATATTATCTTCTACTTAAACTAGTCCCTAAATTACTATTGTCCTTCTAAGAGAAAGGAAAAGATTTAAGACAGATAGGGGCTGGCACTGTGGCACAGCAGATTAAGTGACCACCTGCAATGGTTATTCCAAATAAGCTCAGGTTCTCCACTTTCCACTTTTTAAGATTTATTTGTTTTTATTGGAAAGGCAGATATCCAGAGAGGAGGAGATAGAGAAATATTCCTTCCAATGATTCACTCCCCAAGTGACCGCAATGGCCAGTGCAGACCCAATCTAAAGCCAGGAGCCAGAAACTTCTTCTGGGTCTCCCACAAGGGTGCAGGGTCCCAAGGCTTTGGGCTGTATTCGACTGCTTTCACTGGCCACAGGCAGGGAGCTGGACGGAAAGTGGAGTCATCGGGATTAGAACCGGCACCCATAAGGGATCTTAGGATGCTCAAGGCAAGGACTTTAGCTGCTAGCCCACCTTGCCAAGCCCCCAACTCCCTTTTAACGTACGTAGAGTAAAAGAAGTTGGCTTGAGTGGTCCTGTCCTTGCCACCAATGCAAAGACATGGACTGTGTTCTAGGCTCCTGCTTCAACTTGGTCAAGCCCCCGATGTTGTGGCCCACTGGGAAGTGAACCAGCATTTGGAAGACTTCTCCCAAACTCTTTGTAACTCTGCTTTTCACAGACATCTTTAAGTAGTAAATCATTAGAATAACTCAGAATAAAAAGGCTGCAAACAGAGTGAGTACAACTATGATCATAACAGTGGATGAAACAGAATATGATAAGGAAGTAAAGTCACATCTATTACTCAGGGTCACTATATCTCATTCATTTGCACAAGTACAAAATACTCTTATCACATTTGACAAACATATGCATGAGAGTATATTTCTATTAACCAAAGAACAGAGACTTCATCATTACTGACAAAAGATATTTAGTAAGTAAGTAAAAATAATTTACTTACCAATTTGGAAGCTCTGTTAATTTCCTTCCTGATGTCCTCTATTAGAAAACCATAAACTCCTTCTTCTTCTTTTCCTCTCTGCCAAATTCCACTTGACATCAACTATAAATATATTTCCAATTAGAAAAAAACCCTAAGAAATAAATTACTCAAAAATTATAAAATTCACATCATTCCAATAAAAAAAATGGACAGAAATCACCCATAGTTCAAGCAACTATTGATATTTGTCCCTCATGGGCAAAGACTGAAACTATTCATATCCTTTGACTTGGCAGATATTACATTAACAATTTACATCCCCAAACTAGGTACCTAAAGTATTTCAGAAAGAAAAATACAGAAGATAGGAAGTGAGTGAATAGTTAGCAAGAAGGGGAAGGAAAAGAAAGAACACCTATAAATAAGATCTAGAAAAACAGAGTAAATATAGAAAGCTATAAAATGAATACGACAAAGACAATTCAGATTATAAGTGGCCCTTCAGGCTAACTTTAGATCTCGCTGACAGGTGGGCACTTGTGGCAGCAGGTAAGTCACTGCCATTAGAACTTATTGGCATTCCTGATCTGAGTCTTACCTATTCTGCCTCTAGCCCAGTTTTCCAATAATGCAGAGCCTGGGAGCGAGCAGACACTGGCCCAGGTCAATGGGTCCCACGTGATTTTGTGGCACAACATGGAAGGAGATCCTAGGTGACTGGCTTCGGCCTGGCCAAACTCTGGCTGTTTTGGGCATTTGGGGATTGATGTGCAGATACGTACTCCTTCTATCTGTGTTTCAAATTAAATGAAAACAAATAAATAATTCATTCAAAAAATCAGGTGAGGGCCTGGAGCAATAGCGTAGATGTTAAATTCCTTGCCTTGAATGGGCCGGCATCCCATACGGGTGCTGGTTCTAATCAGAGCAGCTCCACTTCCCATCCAGCTCTATGATTGTGAACTGGGAAAGCAATCAAGGATGGACCAAAGTCTTGGGACCCTGCACCCGACTGTGGGAGACCTGCAGGAAGTTCCTGGCTCCTGGCTTTGGATTGACTCAGCTTCAGCCCTTGTGGCCGCTTGGGGATTGAACCACTGAAGGAAGATCTTCCTTTCTGTCTCTTGCCTTCTCTGTATATCTACCTTTCCAATAAAAATAAATCTTTAAAAAAAAAAACAGGTGTAGCTGAACTCTGAATAATGCAAGGTCTATTTATAGAGGGAAACCTTTTGAATCCTAGGTTAATAAATTTGAATTTTTTTTAAATCTCATTTTAGCTTGACAGATTAATGTTAAGGAAACAAGAAATCAAGGAAAAGTATAGACTGAGAATAAAAAACCTTGTTTGCGGCTGTTGGTGTGGTCAAGCTGTTCATGAGCTTACTTTGACACCAGCATCCCAAATGGGAGCGTAAGTTCCAGTCCTGGTTGCTCTGCGTACTAATCTGTCTGGGAAAGCAATGGAGGATGGCCCAAGTGTTTGCCATCTTTCCTGCCACCCACATTGGTAACCTGGATGGAGTTCTACATTCCTGTGCAAACAGGATTACATGCCTAACCTCTCGGACCCATCAAGTACCTTAATATCATTGACCTAAAGCACAAAAATAAGAACACCGAATTAGATTGTCCCTTACATGTGTCTCAACTCTAGTATTCTACTACCGCCCTTATATTAGTATACTTTCTATTCATAATCAAGAATCTTAAAAGCAACCAGTACCTATTATTTCTTTAGTATTATACTCATGAAGTAAATAAGAATATTAAGGAAATTCTATTATTTTCAAAGGAAATATATGAAACAATTCAAAAGCACTGTAGCAGAGCAAATTTGTGTTGAAAAGTTTACTTTAGGCAGTATAATAAATCCTACAAGAAACAGAAATGACATATACAACTTAATTAGTTGTGAAATAATAACTACGTACCGTAGAAAAAAATAAACTCTAAGAAAACTGAAAATATTTCTTTTGTACTTCAAAATAATAGCTCCTAACTAGAAGCAGAATAAAATAAAATTATACTGGTGTATGCTGTGCAGACTACATTAACGGCTCTATATGTGGGAGAGGTATGTGTGTGATCATTTGCTTTGCAGAAGCCCAATGCCATGCTGTAAGCAGCCAGACAGGAAGTTCAGGAGCTCAGCTCTCCTCTCAACAGACAGCAAGAGCAGTAGCAAAAGCCAGGCACGCCTTCAGAGGCTGCGATGCTCTGGCTCAGTAAAGCCTTCCGATGGAATCTGGCTTACATTTTCCCGGTAATCTCATGAGTTATTCTGAACCAGAAATACCCAGCTCAGTTGATGTTACAGTGCTAACACTCACAAGCTGCAGTCTAACTAATGCTGCTTAACTATTAAATTTCACAGTTATATATTAAACAGAAATAGACAATAAAGTGTCATGAATCATGACGACTACTAAGGCATCCTTGACACACTTTTGTAGTGACAATGCCCCGAATACCATTAGGCATGGACTCAGTGAGGTGAAAAAAACTGATGAAAGAAAGGGGGAATAAATAAAGATGAATTCTCACCAGCCAACCACTGTTTCTTCTCTCTGAGGACTCAAAAATTAGACTGTTTCCTTTTCCACAAACACATATTATCTTTAGCCATATTTTTCCTGGGACCTCTGTTAAGTAAAATTTGTTCCCAGGCCCAGAATCTTCAAACAAGTCTTCTCTCTGAGATTTTCCACTAGCAACAAAGGAGGTAAGAAAGTGGTACGAAAACCACTCCCTCCTTTGGACCCAATCAATTTCTCCTTTCTTCTTTTATTAAGCCCCAAAATGGTCATAAAAACAGGTAATGATAACTCTGCATATATACCAACTAGATTCAGAATTGTAGAATTCGATTTACCAAGAAAGATATCTTATTCTTACACATTAAAAAAAAACAAGATCTAAATAAGTTGAATGAGATCTAATTCTCTAAAATTAAGGCAAAATTTAATTTTCTTCCTTTACAACGCTAACTGTCTGGATCTGTAAATGCTACTCACCAGACAGTAGTAATGTACAGTAAGATTCCACTTCTCGTTAGTTTTCTTTTCTCCGTACTTATTGGGACAGTCATCATTTTTTCGACAGAAGGCACAAACTAACAGTGAAACAGTAAACAGAAACAAATTTTCTTTCTTAAAATTTATAAAACAATAGAATTGATACTCCTCAATTGATGCATTAAATTACTTCTGAAATAGCATATTATACTATATTATTATTGATAACTTCAAATTTCCAGTACACCTATGTTTAATACTTTGACTTAGGATGCTTTGCTCAGTTTTTAATTCCTGATGTGATTAAAATTACAACTTCTGTAATTAACATCAATGAAAACGATGGATTAGGATTCCCAAAACTGAGCCCCGCAGCGTGGTCCAGTGTCTAAAGTCCTTGCCTTGAACGCACCAGGATCCCATATGGGAACCGGTTCTAATCCTGGCTGCTTTGTTTCCCATCCAGCTCCCTGCTTGTGGCCTGGGAAAGCAGCCGAGGACGGCCCAAAGCCTTGGGACCCTGCACCCACGTGGGAGACCTGGAAAAGAAGTTCCCGGTTCTCGGCTTTGGATTGGTGCAGCACCGACCGTTGCACTCACTTGGAGAGTGAATCATCGGACGGAAGATCTTACTCTCTGTCTCTCCTCTTCTCTGTATATCTGGACTTTGTAATAAAAATAAATAATTCTTAAAAAAAAAGTTCCCAAAACTTCATTCTTCTAAAGCAGTGATTAAGTTGCCAAAACTATCAGAATTGATTTTTTTAGATGTATAAAATAAATTTACAAGTTAAAAGAATTTTAAAGAGGAGATGAACTGCCAAATTTTGATGATAGCATTTTTAAAAATTTACCTAGGCATCACTCCCCAATCCCTAGGCAGACAGTGACCCCAAGATGCTTCAATTTTAGACTTGAGATGCAGACTGCTGGTCAACAGGCAGTAGCCCCAATCCTGCTTTCTGATGTGACTCTGCACCTCTCACCTTTGTGACGGCTCAAGTACTTCCCCCTTTCTTTCACTTATCTCAGAACTTTCACTGGGTTAAAATAAGCACTAACATATTTCAAATAGTTCATGAAAAATGGAAATTAAAAGCCAAGTTTGAAATCCATGCTATTTTTCCAATAATATGCATTTTGAACTGTGAATGACCCCTTGTGTTTAATTCTAATTTCCAATAATTTCTTAGAGTATCTTCATTAAGTATACAGAGCAATCTGCAGCACTAAAAAACAGAAGCCAGTTGACAGACCAAAAAGCCTAAGAAAGAAAATACTATGAAAAATGAATACGTGGGGGAAATAAGGGATTTAAGAAAGTTGTATATACATGTCTTAAGATATGCACATGTCAATGAATGTATATATGCTCAAAAAAGATATGAAAACCCATAAATTCTTACTGAAAGCCTTCATTACAAAATGAGAGATCCTGGGCCTGGTGTGGTAGCCTAATAAACACTCCTTGCACACACCAGGATCCCATATGGGAACAGGTTCACATCCCAGCTGCTCCATTTCCCATCCAGCTCCCTGCTGTGGCCTGGGAAAGCAATACAGAAAGGCCCAAAACATTGCGTCCCTGCACCCACGTGGGAGACCCCGAAGAATCTCCTGCTTCGGCTCAGCTCAGCTCTGGCCATTTGGCCACCTGGGGAGTGAACCAGTGTACATAAGATCTTCCTCTCTGTCTCTCCTCCTCTCTGTATATCTGACTTTGTAATAAGAATAAATAAATCTTAAAAAAAAATACAGAGAAACTGGATAAAACTTGAAAGATTAGTTGCCCTCTCTGCGAGTCCATGTTTACTGATACAAATACATAATTTGCCACATAAACAAATAAGCCAATCTTGTCCCAGGGAATTCATTCCTGTTGTTTGACTGACATCCTGAAAAGATCATACCGATAATATTTGTTACTTACCAAGGTTCTGTGAGTTATCAGGTTTATTTTCATTCATTTTACTAGGAAAAATAAAAACACATCAAAAGTCATCTTAATGGCAAGTCTCAAAATTATCCATTTTAATTAAACTTAGTCAACGTGTAATTATATATATGCAAGTAATATAATCATTTATTACTCTACAACATTTAATTCCTCACCTTGCACACATCTAAAATCAGCAGTTCTCAACAAGCGTGGCAGAATCTGGGAACTCACTTGAAATTACAGAGAAATGTTGTTCAATCATCAAAACAACTTAGTTTATTGATAGTGGAAAAGGGGACAGGATTGCAGTATATCCTACAATGAATCAAAAGGTTCTACACACAGAGAAAGAACAATAGTATAGACTTTCAACTAAAATTTTGCACATTTAGTGAAAAAACAGAAAGAAATCCTATTATAATTAGATCAGCATACAATGTTAACTAAATTTAAGCAAAACTCGTTTTTTGCTCTATTAGAACAAAATAGAAATTCCCAGAAGTACAACTCCCATGCAAATCTAGGGAATTCGTACATAATTTCTGCTCAAAACTTCATTGAGAACTGTGAATCATTTAAAGGGGAAAAAAATCAGGGACTAACATTAAGCCATCACTTTTTTTTGTTTAAAGATTTATTTATTTTTATTACAAAGTCAGATATACAGAGAGGAGGAGACAGAGAGGAAGATCTCCCGCCCGATGATTCACTCCCCAAGTGAGCGCCAACAGCAGGTGCTGGGCTGATCCAAAGCCAGGAGCCAGGAACTTCCTCCAGGTCCCAAGGCTTTGGGCTGTCCTCAACTGCTTTCCCAGGCCACAAGCAGGGAGCTGGATGATAAGTGGAGCTGCCGGGATTACAACCGGCGCCCATATGGGATCCCAGCACATTCAAGGCGAGGACTTTAAGTGCTAGGCCACTGTGCTGGGCCCAAGCCATCACTTTTAATGACTTAACATCTATCAGAGAAGTGTAAGTTTGAGTCCAGTTTGTTATACTTCTGATCCAGCTTCCTGCTAACATGTAGGGGAAAGCGATGAAAGACTGTCCAAGTATTTGAGCCTCTGCAGCCCACATGGGAGACAGAGACAGAAGCCCCAGCTCCTGCCTTCAGCCTGGCCTAGCACTGGCTGTCGAGACCACTTTGAGAATAAAACAGCAAGAGAGGATAAATCTCTCTCCTGCTCTGATTTTAAATAAGCAAAGGGGGGGGGGGGGATAGATCACATCATTGACAGCAATGTCATTCATTTGAGTGGTCTAACATTTCTTTCACTTTTGTTTGAAAGGCAGAATTGGAGAGACAGAAGCAGAAAGAGAGAGGGCCCAGCATAATGGCTCACTTCATGTCCCAGCTGCTTCACTTCTCATCCAGCTCTCTGCTTATGACCCTGGAAAGTAGTGGAGGATTGGCTCAAAACCTTGGAACACTGCATCCAAGGGGGAGGGCCAAACAAAGCTCCTTGCTCCTGATTTTGGATCAGCTTAGTTCCAGCTATTGTGGCCACTTAGGGAGTGAACCAGTGGATGGAAGATTTGTCTCTCCTTCACTTTGTGTATCTGCCTTTCTAATAAAAATAAATCTTAAAAAAAAAAGGAAAGAAACAAAGAAATCATCCATCCACAGTTCATTCTTTAAGTAGCCACAACAGCCAGAGCTGTGCTGACTCAGAGCCAGAGCCAGGAGCTTCTTCTGGGTCTCCCATTTGGGCACAAGCACTGGGGACCCTACTCTACTGCTTTCCCAGCTCATCAGCAGGAAGTTGGACTGGAAATAGAGTAACTAGGACTTGAACTGGTGCCCAAGTTAATGCTGGCACTGCAGGTATAGTGCCAGCTCAAATTCTTTATCAGTTTGTGTTTGTTACTGTTGGATTTGCAAACATCTGTCTGCCTAATTACATTCAACACATGCCAACTTTTTAACTCTATAGTTTCACCTTACGAAGCATATATTAATAACTTACATGTATTAATAAGACTAAGCTATAACATACTAGAAGCTCTCAGAATTCAATTGGAAAACAACATAGTGACAACAGGAGGTAAATGTCATTATGTAACTGCAAAACTAATTTCATACAACCTAAAATACTGCAAAATTATTACTATTACTACTATGAAGACCCAAACTTATGCGTTTATTTACAATTTAGAATTTGTACTTTAAACACGTAGCTACACACATAATACCTTTTGTGCTTTCATAAGTTCATGGTCTGCTGAATCACTGACTCCAAGAATTCAATATTTTCTCATTTCTCCTTACAAAATTATTTTGTATGCCTTAAGATTACTATTTCCTAAGAGAGTCCAGAACAATTAGAGATTAGTTTTAAGCATATAAGCATTTAAGCCTACTTTTCCTATCCTGTGTCCATAACTAATAATGAAGGAATAAAGGAGAACTCTAATGTTCCTCGGTTTTTCTTTCTTTTTTCTCTTTTTAAAGAAATGCTGATAATACTCTACAGGTATATGATGGTATTTAAAAAAGACTTTATTTATTTATTTGAAAGGCTGAATTACAGAGAAAGAGGAAGAGACAGAGAGAGATCTATTATCTTCATTTCTTCAGATGGCCACAACTGAAGCCAAGAGCCAGGAGCTTCATCTAGTTCTCCTGCATGGGAGGAAGGGGTCCAAACAACTGGGCCATCTTCTGCTGCAATTCCTGTGTCATTAACAGGGAGTAGAACCATAAGTGGGCAGTCAGCGCAGAAGCAGCATCTGTGTGAAACACCTGCGCCACAGTCCACAATGCCAGTCCCATAATACTTCTGATGTTTATACAATGTAGTCATACAATGAGTACAACTTACACATATTGGCCACAGCATGAAAAATGGAAAAAACAAAGTCCTGGCAGTCCCTTAAAGTTAACACACATTTGTGTACCTACCCTTAGACACAGGAATTTCACATCTATATTTCCTCATTTACTTCTATACACTCAAGTTTTACAGCTCAAGAGAAATATAAGTATAAAAAATGTTTACACAAAAATAGTTACAGCCACATTCTTTGTAATACCCTTAAACTAGAAACCAGCAAGCACATCAAGAAAATGGATAAACAGTTGGTATATTGACACCATTCACCAATGAAAAGCAACTATTGAAAGACACAATTATTCCATTCTTACAACAAAACTACTCTATCATGAAAATATCAGAACATTTTCTCCCAAGTGGGAAAAAAGTTGAAATGGGACATGAGGAAGGTTTCTGGAAAATCCTACCTTCACTGAAATCCCTAGGTAACTTTGAAACAGGGAGGGAATCCTGATTTCTAGCCAATGTACAATATTCCTCAGTTTTGTAGATTCCAACAAGACCCAGGAGACAGGCCAGTCCTGACCTTGATTCCTTTACATTTATAGCTTTATTCTGAGCCTATCAAAACACTAATTTAAATTTCACCTAAATATTATATCCTCCAAAAACTTTTTAAAAAAGATTTATTTTGCTTTTATTGAAAAGGTAGATTTATACAGAAAAGGACATAGAAATATCTTCTGCCCACTAGTTCACTCCACAAGTGGCCACAATGGCCAGAGCTGAGCTGATCTGAGTCAGGGGCCAGGAGCTTTTCTCTGGGTCTCCCACACGTGTTAAGGGTCTCAGCTTTGGGCCCTGTGTGGTGGCCTAGTGGCTAAAGTCCTTGCCTTGAACACACCGAGATCCTAAAAGGGCGCCGGTTCTAATCCCAGCAGCCCCACTTCCCATCCAGCTCCCTGCTTGTGCCCTGCAAAAGCATTCAAGGATGGCCCAAAGACTTGGGACCCTTCACCCACGTGGGAGACCAGGAAAAGCTTCTGGCTCCTGGCTTTGGATCAGCACAGCAATGGCCATTGCGGCCACTTGGGGAGTAAATGATGGGATGGAAGATCTTCCTCTCTGTCTTTCCTCCTCCTCTCTATATATCCAACTTTGCAATAAGAATAAAAATAAAACAAATCTTTAAAAAAAAAAAGGGGGGGGGTCCCCAGCTTTGGGCCGTCCTCAAACACCTTCCAAGAGCACACTCAAGGAGCTGGATGGGAAGTGGGGTGGCTGGGACATGAACTGCTGAAGAATCTAGATGTTTTCTGCCTTTTGTGATTCTGCCTTAATGGCTTGGCGGGGGGCGGTGTGAGCTCCAGGCCTGGTAGTCTACGTGATGCCTGGCAGGACACCTGGCAGGACACCTGGCAGGTCACGTAGGCAGACCACTCCTCAGGAAGGAGGGACCTGGTGTTAGATAAGATCCACAGCCCAATAGCTCAACAGTTTGTACTTTTTGAAAGTTGCTTGTTTCAAACCCACCAATAGAAGCCTGCTAAATCATGACTGTATAATTAATAGCCTGAAATGTATAAGAATTGGGGGGCTTGGGCTCCCTGCCGATTGTACCGCAGCCTTGACTGCAGCTGCCCCCCCCCACCGCCCAGCACTGCTGGGCTGGGGAAGGTGGCTGGGAGACCTAGGTTAACCTGAATAAACCACCTTTATGCCTTAGCACCGACTTCAGGCTTGATTTTCTGGGGATTTCAAAATCCGGCACAACACTGGCGCACATATGAACTCCCAGCATGTGCAAGTCGAGGACTTTAGTTCTAGGCTATTGCGCCGGGCCCAAAAGTTAAAATATTTGCAAGATATCCTGTACTCCCTTTGACCCGTGCACAGTAGTCATCTTTTCAATCCTCAGAATGTGAACTGAAACCTTTTTCAGTGCAAGCCTGGCTTCAGCATCATGTTAAATAATCCCCATACAAAACATAAGCAGAAAACATATGTATTCGCACATATTTGTTGGATTTTACATTTTCAGTAGTAAAGTTTTCCTAACATATATAAACTTTAAGACTTCTGGTGTAAAATGAGGGAAACAATGTTCATCTACGTGTGGATCTCAGGAACAGGGAAATCCTGACTGACTTGTTCTTAAGCAGTCAGTCTCCGGGGGAGGGCAGGCACTGGGCAGCCTGAGCTGACTGCAGGGACCAATCCCAACAGGCGCCCTGGGAGGCACTAAGTGAGGCTTGGATCCCAGCCACCCCATTAGGGATTGGGACGGAGTTCCTGGCTGCTGCCTTCGGCCTGGCCCAAGCAGGGCTGCTGTAGGCATTCAGGGAGTGAACAGGAGGTGACTGTCCGTCTCCCAAACTCCCTCTGCCTTTCAATTAAATTTTAAAACACTGAAGAAAAACAACGACCACAACCCTGGCCACTAATGAACTTCATTTTAAAAATGAAGAAAAATGCTGTAAAAACTGTTCCCTTCCTTGGGAAATCAGCAATTCAAAGATGCTCCAGGAAGCCACTGCGCAGGAGGTAATCTTAGTGGATTCCTCCGCTCACCTCTGCAGGGCCAGGAGTACTCAGTGTGCAACGCCTCCCTGCAGTAGGTGGAGCCAGAGACGCCTCACTTTGCCGGGTAGAGCTTCCTCCCACCACGACAGTGGCCAAAACACCGTGTGACTCTCATGAAAGGCACTGTGACTTCCTCTTTGTTCTCTACCATGCAGCACACACTGGAGGAAGCCAGTGGCGTATCATTAAGATGCTGCAGATGTTCCATCTGCGAAGATGATCCTCCAACCCCAGGGAAGCCTGACAGCCTGAGCAGTTTCACTCATGGGAGACTAAGAATCACAGCTGAGCTGATGACAAAAAATATTAGATAGCAATATTTGTTGTTACAATTTTTAAGTGATCTTTTTACACAGCAATGAACAACTAAAAGCTAACCTAAACTTTCACTTAAAATTTTGAATGAAATGGCCTGATGCAGTAGCCTAGTAGCTAAAGTCCTTCCCCTGCACCCACCAGGATCACAAATGGGTGCCAGTTCTAATCCCACTAGCTCCTCTTCCCATCCCGTTCCCTGCTTGTGGCCTGGGCCTGGGAGACCCAGAAGAGGCTCCAGGCTCCTGGCTTCGGATTGGCACAGCTCCGGCTGTTGAGGTCACTTCGGAAGTGAATCATCAACGGAGGATCTTTCTGTCTCTCCTCTCTGTATGTCTGACTATGCAATAAAAAAAAAAATCTTTAAAAAAAAAGATAATTTGACAAAAAAAGATTTTGAATAAAAGAGGTCCTGCCCATCCAAAAATCTCCTTCAGCTCCTAATCTTATTGAGAAAAACATGGCTAAAGTAATAGGTGATGACCTTTTGAAATAATGAAAATTACCTCCTGTATTTTAAAACTTAGACACTTAGAATTTACCATCTTACACAGATATTTGATACATGTATTAGAAGATAATTCAATTTGATTTGTCACTACATGACAAAACATGACATTATACTTTGATCATGCAGTAAATGGCCTGGGTTGAATATTGTACTGGGGAATAAAATAATCTAAAAATTATCTTTCAAAGTGACCAAAAAAACACAATATGGAGTGGTTGAAAATGTTGTAGCAACACTGTTTCCTGAACTTTACATTTGCACTCTGTGTACTTAGAAGAATATTCTTAATCTTAGAAATACTTACTGAATTTAAGGGACAAGAGGACAAAGTTTACACAGACTGTTCTCATAGGGACCAAGGAAGGAAAATAATGCACAAATGCAAAAATGAAAAAGAGAACATGCCAAAATACTAAACAGCAGAATTTAGTATTATTAGAATGCAGTTGCATCCTAGCATTCTAAAGTCCTAAAAGGACTCATATGGAAAATCCACCTCTGTAACTCTGCCTCTCAAATAAATAAATAAGTACATCTTTTAAAAAAAAATCATTATTGAGATCTTCTTTAAAGACTGATACTGTTAAGACTGGCTCGGTAGCAGAGTGGGAAGAAGTTCCAGGCTCCCAGCTCAGCACAGGCCAGTGCAGTCATTTGGGGAGTTAACCATCAAATGGAAGCTATCTTTGTCTCTCCTTGCATGCACTGGGATCCCATGACTGCTGGTTCCCGTCTCTGCTGTTCCCATTCAGCTCCCTGCTTGTGGCCTGGGAAAGGAGTGAAGGATAGCACCAGTTCTTAGGACCCTGTACCCATGTAGGAGATCTGGAAGAAACTCCTGGCTACTGGCTTTGGATCAGCTCAGTTCTAGCTGTTAGGGTCATTTAGGGAGTGAATCAGCAGATAACAGATTTTTCTGCCACTCCTTCTCTATAAAATCTGACTTTCTAATAGGAATAAATAAATCTTAGAAAAAAATTTTCAATCTGTGTGTGACTGAATTCATGGATGTGGCATCTACAGATAAAGGTCCTAATAAATGCTAAATCATGCTGTACCTTGAAAATGTATGACAAGTGAAAAAGCCACACATAAATGATTCCATATTGTATAATCATATAAAATACCTGGAACAGAAAAACTTTTTTTTTTTTTAAAGATTTACTTACTTACTCTGAAGGCAGAGCTACAGAGGAGAAACAGAGAAATTTTCTATCACTGGTTCAATCCCAAATTTCCATAATAGCCAAGGTTGGGCAAGACCAAAACCAGGAGCCAGGAACTCTCATCTGGGTCTTCCACCTGCATGTCTGGGCCAACTTGTCCTGCTTTCCAGGGTCATTAGCAGAGACCTAATCAGCAGGGGGCTGGAAGGGAGCAGAACAGCTGGGACTCAAACCAGTGCTCTTGTTTGGTGGCTTAAACCACTGTCCAAGGCTGGCCCCCACAGGTAAACTCATCAAGACAAGATAGATTTAGTTTCTAGAGACTGAGGGATTGAAGCGGTTGGGCAGTGACTGTGTGATGAATATCAGGTTTTCTTTTGGGGTGATAAACTTTTTGGAATTAAATACAGATGATGGATGCATACTGTGAACAAATTATACACTTTAAAAATGGTTATGTGGATTTTACCTTAAAAATCATC